GTATGCACAGTTAGTATCTAACCTGTGGCCAGCCAGGGTGGTGTCCATAGGGACTTCTGTCTCCCTCAACTAGACTCTGACGAGTGTTGCTCTCTGTAGTAACATCAGCACCTAGCTTAGGATCTGGCATATGGCAGGAACTCAGTGCATGTTGAGTGAGTGAGTAATGAATGACCAGATGATACAGAGCCCAGGGAAGTGCTGCATAGGTGTCTCCGGGAATTAGTCTTTTAAAATCCCTGTCACAAAACAGCACTCCTTGGCTCAGAATACTGCCCTGGCTCTGGTCACATTCAGAATATAGACCACAGCCCTTCCCACCACCTACAGCTCCTGCACAAACTGGCCTCATCTATTCTCTACCCTCACTGACTCACTCATTCCCCTCCAGCCACACTGGCCTCTTTCTGTCCTTCCAACACACTAGGTAAGTTCCTCTCTTAGGGTCTTTCTTTGTACCTGCTGTTTTTCTTGCCTGGGACAATCTTCCCAAGGCTTTCCAGGTCTGTACTCAAATGTCACTTCTTCAGAGAAGTCTCCCTGATCACTCTGTTGAAATCAGTACTTCTGCCTTCTCCATTTCCTACCTTTGTTTATTTCTTTATTCACAGCACATATCACTACTTAACTTGTTTATACTTCCCTCCCTCCTTTTCTCCCTTCCTCTTTCCTTCTGTTTCTCTTCTTCCCTTTGTTCTTCATATATACATACACACACACACACACACACACACACACGTGTGTGTGTCTATACACAATGTTTTATTTTGTTACTCTATTATAGTTGTCCCAATTTTTCTCCCTTTGCCTTCCTCAGATCAGCCCACCCCCAGCCCCACACTAGTCTCCCTCCTTAGGATATAAATGCAACACTCCCACTGTGCCTTGGTCCCTCCCTTATCCCCAAGGCCCAGCACAAAACCTGGCATGGAGGAGGTGTTCAGTTAATGTCTGCTCAATTAATGTACAAATTTAATAAACAAATACATCAGTTCCTCTTAAAGTCCACTTTAGCCCTCTCTCTCTTCTGGACCACATTTCCAGATTCCTTCACCTTTTGTGGCCAATCCCACTTGTCTTACAAGCAGTATTCCTGGGGAGGGGCAGGGTGGGGGACAGCCCAGACCTTCTCACTTCCCACCAGGTCAAAGGTCCCAGCCATATCCAGCCCAAAGGACATTTTCCAGTTTCCGGGATGGACTCCCTGCCCCTACTCTCTTAATTTTTCTATCAGACTGAGGTTAACTAGTTGCCTCTCTGATCCACCTCTAGTGGGTGACATTTCCTTAGCTTCTGACCCTCACAGCCAATGTCTTCTAAAAGCCCCTTCTTATATCCAATTCCAGATGAACCCCACCCTCCCTACCTTGTAGCCAGAGGGAGCTTTTAAATATCAGACCTACCACTCCTCTGCTCTTAAACAATCCCTCAAGTGCTCTCCCCCAATCACACTTAGAGTATATCCAAAGTCCTCACTGTGGCCTTTTAAGACCCTTTCAGATCTAGTCATTGCCAACCTCTCACTTCAACTCTGATCACTCCCTAACTGCAGCTCCATGAGCTTCTTTTTGTTCCAAGCTCAATCCTGTTCCAAACCTAGGGCTCTGTACTTGCTGCTCTCTGCCTAGAACCTTCTGCAGCTGTCCTATGGCTGATTCCTCCTCATACCCTGGGTCTCAGCCTCAATGCTACTTCATCTGTAAGACCCACCCTGACCTCTCTGTCTCAAGTTGCTGCCTTCTGGCCATACTCTATTTTTACTTCTATCTTTTCTTTCTTTCTTAGCACTTACTCCAACCTGAAGTTTTCTGATTTATTGATCGTTTGTTATTCAGTCTTTTCTTTCCTGAGAGAAAGGATCATCCCTGGATTGCTCACCATTAAATCTCTATCACCCAACATAAGACTTGTCACAGAGTAGTTAAACACTGCTTGATGATTTGACACTGTCAGTTTCTCCAAAATGCCACCCTCTCAGCTCCACAACCCCCTTCCTTGGAGCCTTTACTTCTGCAGTTATCTCTCCTGGGACCCCTTTCCCTGATCCTTCCCTAATTAACTCCCAACTCATCCATAGGTCTCCCTCCAATGTTACTTCCTCAGAGAAAACATGTCTTAACAAGCTATTGCAGTATCCCATTCTTCACAAGCACAATTCTCATGTTTTGTAATTACATATTTATATTATTATACTTATTTGTGTGGTCATTACTGAGACCTGTGAGTCCTCTCAGGGCAAAGGCTGGGTCTGTCTTGTTCCATGCTGTGCCACCAGCTCCTAGCACAGAGCCAGGTCTATAGTAGGCTTTCAACAAATGTCTGCTGAATGACTAAATGACTGAAATGATGTATCATGAGCCAACGATTAGGCTTATTCTGAAACCATTCGCCAATGAATGAATGAATGAATGAATGAATAGGATGGGGGGCTGGAATGCAAGGAAGGACTCAGCAGCTGAAACTCCTTGGGCCCACCTTCAAATACCCCAGAATCCTCCCACAATCACCACCAGCAGAGCTCAGCCCAACTTCTCTAGCCATCTAAAAGCTCCAGGATAAATTCCAGGGTGGGAAGGTGGTTACCGTAATCCTTGGGGAGAGGGGCAGGTGCAGAAGGGTGCACAACAGGCTTCTGCCGGCGCTCCTGGGTGGGGCTGGGGGCCTCGGGAACTGGCTCATCCTCCTCATCCTCTTCTTCCTCCTCGTCCCGGAGTGGTGGGGCCATCGGAGCAGGATCGGTCTTAGTCATGGTCCTCAGTGGCCCTTGGAGGGGCAGCCTTCAAATTGTGGAGGCAAAAGTCAGCTAAAGAGGGCACCCCACAGACTCTGGAATCCGAGCCCACAGAAGCTCCCAGGGCCCCAGCTCTGGATTTGGGGCAAACATAAAGTCATCCGTTACCCATTAGAGGACTCTGGTATGTGGGCCTAGGCCCCCATTCTCCTCTAGCGTCAGGGCCCTCAGTCTAGGCCTCCCGGTCCCCAGGTTTGTTTATCTCTGGATGCACTTATGCTTCGACCCTCCCCTTCTCCGCAGGCCTCCCCTCTATCCATCTTACCTTGGGCAAACCAGGCTAGAGACCAAAGCTGAGAGTGGGGGTAGTGGAGAAATGGGGTGTTAGTTTTGGGGGAAGTGATGGGTGAGGAGGAGATCGAGAGAAGGGGACAAGGCACGGACACCCGATGAGGGGGGATGGGGAGGGAGGGGCACTGAAGGCGCATGCGCCGTTTTACTCCCACTTGGCTGCGGGCGGGGGTGAGAGGGGGAGAAGGTACTGGCAGGGTGTTTTTATGAACAGGCTGGAAGATCTGCAGAGAAGGGGACAGACACGGAGGATGGGGGTGAGGAAGAGGTGGCTAGGGAAAAAGGATGTGAGACACGAAGACAGAAGAGGCGAAGTGCAGACAAGGGTAAATAAAAAGACAGGACTGGTGAAGCCAGCACAGTGCTTTCTGACTCCCCAACCCCATGATGGAGCCTTCCTGTAAGCCTGCAAACCAGGCCAATTTGGACAGGGGGTCTCATTGTTGGGTATTTTCCATCGGTGAGATCTCAAACCTCTCATTCTCCATGCTTGCCCTATATAAGGGGTGTCTTAGAGATATGATTGTTATCACCATTGTTGTCATTCTCATCACATAATACTCACATAGCACTTACTAGGCCCAGAAAGGTTAAGCCACTTGCCCAAGGGCACACAGCAAGTAGGTGGTGGAGCAGAGACTGGAAACCAGGCAATCTGGGCTTTTAATCACCATGCTACATGGCTGTAGCAGAGTCTAGAGGGCTCAGAACCCTCATTTTCATCAGGAAAGCCTCCTGAAATCACCCAGGCCTTCCTGGACACATTATCCTGGCTTGGCTGTCATACCTGCCTGGCTGTGGCCTGCACTACCCACAATAGTTCCAGCCTGAACAGGGCTGGGAAACTTTGTCTTCTACCCCTCACTATTGGGCAGGGCCAATAGTTCCATTTCCAAAATATTTCCAGAATTGTATCCCTCACCCCCTATCCCCATCCCTCATCTGGGTACATCCTTCATCTTCCCTCACCTGGAACATGGCAGTACTTCTCCCTGTCATCCCGCTCCTCCCTTCCCCCTACAGTTTGCACCCTGTATGTAACCAGATGAACCTAGCATGTATCACATCAGGGCCTTCCTCTTAGAAGCACCCACTGCCGACCGTACTTCAGGTACAAGGCAGTGTTCTCAACCACAGCCCACAGGTCCTGTGTGAATTTCCCCTGTCATCTCTCCAATCTCATCTCCTCTCACTCTCCCCCTTATTCACTCCACTCAGAGCACACTGGCCTTGCTCCTCCCCATCTAGGACTTTACACTGGTTTTTCCTTCTGCCTGAATGCTCTTCCCCCAGATATTTGGTTCCCTCTTTCCCCTCTTAAGATCTTACCTACTGATGCCTTTTTAGTAAAACCTTAAAATTGCACACACACCTCACCACAGCCACACATTTACTTCCCTCCTTCCTTTACTTTTCACCATAGCAACACTGTCCTTCAGCTAATAACCTTAGATGTTGGACATTTGCAGGGGCTCTTCTTCCTGGAACATCCAACCCACATACCTTCCAGGGCTTCTCATCATCTAGGTCTCTACTCAAACGTTGTTTCCTTAGAGAGTTTTATTCTCAAACACTTTTTTTCTTCCCTGTTCCATTACATTTTCATACATTCTTAATGCACTTATCATAATCTAAAATTATCTCATTTATTAGGTTACTAGTTCATCTTCTACTCAAGCAGAATGTAAGTACCATGAAGGCAGGACTTTGTCTGCTGTGTTCCCAGCTCAGCATCAGTCTTGGCAAGGGATTTGAGAGGCTCTTCAGAAGCAGGTACAATTGTCTCCAAACAAAACAAACCTTGTTCTGTTTTGAAGTTGTTTTACTGACTGCAAAGATTTGAGCTGAGGGTGGCAGGTACCTGGTACTGAAGGGAGTCAGGCTGATGGGGGTCTTGGGCCCAACTTGGCTCTAAGGTTTAAGGGGACCCTAGGAGAGTGGGAGCTGGGCCCTTGAGAGAGGCATTGCTACGTCCAAGGATGGGTAAGGGGGATGGACCAAGTCTCTTCCTCTGTCTTCTGTCATCTGTCCAGTAACATCTTTCCTGGTCCCTAGCACTGGGGGTCTGAGAGTCTAGGAGCTCAGGCTTGACATGTAATATGGGAAGTACAGGACCTTGGGCAAAGGCCACAGTTATGTCGGGCTCTCCGCAGATGATGGTGAAGGCCTGGGATTCCTTAGATTCAGAGGAAAGAAGTGGTAGAGATGGAGAACACAGGGGAGTGAGGAAATTATAAGGAGCAGGGAGGCCCAGGTGGGAAGTGGGTTTCAGGAAAAGGAGCGTGATGTAGGCAGAGAGAGAGAGAGATGGGAAACAGGGAAGCAGACGTGAGAGCCAGAGAGAGATTCATGGAGAATAAAGAAGTATGGGGAAGCAGAGAAAGAGGTGTGGGGTGACACAATCATGGAAAGATAGATGTAGGAGATAGGAAAAATGTAGGGACAGGGAGACAGGGACATCAATATGAGAGACACAGCCCTGGCTGGTGTGGCTCAGTGAACTGAGTGCCAGACTGCAAACTGAAAGGTCACCAGTTCGATTCCCAGTCAGGGCACATGCCTGGGTTGCAGGCCAGGTCCCCAGTTGGGGGCATGTAAGAGGCAACCACACATTGATGTTTCTCTCCCTCTCTTTCTCCCTCCCTTCCCTTCTCTAAAAATAAATGAATAAGACTTTTTTAAAGAAAGAAATGATTTTAGATAGGGTACGGGGGACTCTGGTAGAGGGGTCACAAACTCAAGCTCTATAAGGGCCAGACAGGGACACTCCAACAGGAGCTAACAGAAGACACCTGGTTTGAATCCTGGCTCTGCAAGATACTGGCTGTTTGACTTTGGACAAATTACTGTGTCATTCTGTGCCTCAGCTTTTTCATCTGGAAGATGGGGACAAGTATAAAAATCATAGTGAATTTTCTGTAAGTTATTAACTCTGTGTCTGGCAGAGAGTAAGGGCTTAAATATTAATAAGCAGAACAGCCACTACTTTGCCAGATTAATTTTTTTTCCCCAAGGAAAGCCCAAAATTTGAAAACATGGGTGGAATGTTCTGATTTTTAAATATTGGGCTCTAGCTTAAACAAAAACACATGTTGTGTGGGTCAGGCAGGTCCCATGCACCCTTCGTAGCAAGCTTTTCCTGTGCAGCTGTGCAGGTTGCCTGGAGCTGTTCTTGGCACTGCTGCAGCCTCTGCACCTTCTGAAGCAGTGCTCCCAGTGCGTAGCCCAGCTCAGCCTGCAGGTATTGGGAGGGGACTCCAGGGTGAAGCCCTGTGGGAGCCAGCAAAACACTCTGGGTGGAGGGGGTGTCAGGAACAGGGTAGCTGCATCCTCAGAGTCCCCTGATGCTGGCCCCAGCACCACCAGGTGTTCACAGCTACAAGCTAGGATGTCTGGGCCAGGACACAGGGATGTGGACTCCTGTGGAGGTACAACTGGCTTCTGGTTGCTTTGGGAGACAAGGCATGGGGGGAGTGGGGTACGTCTGGGTGAGACTCTAAAGGGGCTTTCTTCAGGAAGGGACTATGGGTTGGGGGGTTCAGACTCTAAGGGAGACTTACCTCAGGTAAGTCCAAACCTTAGGGAAGAACTTCCTTCAAGAGGGAGGGCTGAGAGTAAGGCTCCAGGAGGTACTTCCCTACAGACAAGACTCCACAGTTACTTCTCAAGTCAGGAAGGCAGGTGTGGAAGGGGCAGATGGTTAGCGTCCAGCATTAGGACCACTCCATGCTAACCATGGCAGATGGTGCCCAGAGAATATGGAGGGTACAGAATCTGGCTGCAGGTAGCACACGCCCCAGTGCCACTGGAAGCAGGAAGGTGTGAAGTGCTTACTGCACAGGTGCTGACGACCCATGCACTACAGCCAGGCCATCCTCCACTGGGAACCTGCCAGGTAGTGGGGTCAATGATATCAGGTCCAGCCCCACCCCTCCCTGTGAATGCTCACACCCAGAGTTCCTTTGGGGTCCAAGCCCCTGCACCCGACCCCCAAGATCTCTGTGCCTCCTACCTATATTGCATTTTTCCACTCCACCTTTTAACAGCATCAACCTGCCTATTCCACCTCATCTACCCCTCCCATCTAGCCTCCATCCTCTAGAGCTGGGTTTTTGCCTCCTTCTTGGTCTTCCTTCATGGGTGGGGGGGGGAGGGTTGTAAATTATTTAAAGAGATTTCAGGAATATCACCCAAATGCAGGATCTGGACCTCACTCTGAAACAGATCAGTCTGTAAAAACACATTTTTTAATAATTTTATATATTTACTTTTAGAGAGAGGGGAAAGGGAGAGAGAAAGAGAAGTAGAGAAAATCAGTGTGTGAGAAAAACATGTATCGGTTGCCTCTCACATGCCCCCAACTGGGGTCCTGGCCCACAAACCAGGCATGTGCCTTAACTGGAAATTGAACCAGAGACCTTTTGGTTCACAGGCCAGCACTCAGTCCACTGAGCCACACCAGCCAGGGCTAAACAGTTTTTAAACAACAACAAAAATAATCTGATTAAACAATAGGGAAAGAACTGGAATAAACATTTCTCCAGACTTCCGCCAAGATGGAGGCATAGGTGGATATGCCGTGCCTTCTCACACAACCAAGTTTAGAGACAACTAAATATTAGCAACAGAAAACACGGCCAGAACACAGAAAATTGAACTTTTTGGAAATCTGTTAACAACAAATTCTTCAGCCTGACCAGTAAGGGGCGAAACCAGCAGCTGGTGGAGCGGGGTTGCACAGGAAAACTCAGTCAGACGGACTCAGGTGCACGGAATCCAGGCGCGCGGAATCCAGGCGCAGGGTTGGACCTAGTGAGCAACTGAGCGAGCTACCGAGCGAGCGACCAAGCGAGTGACCGCGGGGGAAACAGCGGAGGAGCAGGGCTGCGGGTTGACTGTGGTCGCGCATTTGTGCACGGATAGACACGCGAGGGAGTGGGTGATTGGACTGGGCCCCAGTGGGTCCCTGCGGCAAGCGGCAAGCAGCAAGCGGCAGCGGAGGGCTCCGCCATTTCCCCGCTCTGACCCCACCTCCACATACAGCGTCATAACCCAGTGACTCTGAGTGGCCCGGTGAACCACCTAAGGCTCTGCTCCTCACCCAGCTGTGACAAACAGCAGAGGGGGTCGCCATTTACCCGCTCTGACCACGCCCTCACGTACAGCATCACAACCCAGCGACCTGGGAGTCCAAGGATTCGCTCCTCACACTTAAAGGGCACGAACAGACCAAAAATGGCTCAAGAAGATCTCAAAGCCCCAGAGCCTATAAATCTAAGCGATGAAGAAATAGCAAAACTCCCAGACGCCCAGTTTAAAACACTGGTGATCAGGATCCTCACAGAACTGGTTGATTATAGCCACAAATTAGACAAACATATGAAGGCAAAACTAATTGAAATGAATGGAATTGCACAGGACACCAATAGCAATGAAAAGGAAACTGGGACTCAAATCAATGGAGTGGACCAGAAGAAAGCAAATAATGGCCAAACAGAAAAGAGTCAGGAAGCAAGAATTCAAAGAAATGAGGAGAGTCTTAGGAACCTCCAGGACATCTTTAAAGGCTCCAACATCCGAGTTATAGGGGTACCAGAAGGGGGAAAGGCACAGCCACCAGTGGAAAACTTATTTGAACAAATAATAAAGGAGAATTTCCCCAATCTGGCAAAGGGAAATAGACTTCCAGGAAATCCAGGAAGCTCAGAGAGTACCAAAGAAGTTGGACCCAAGAAGGAACACACCAAGGCACATCATCATTACATTAGCCAAGATTAAAATGAAGGAGAGAATCCTAGAAGCAGCAAGAGCTAAGGGGACAGTCACCTACAAAGGACTTCCCATCAGACTGTCAGCGGATTTCTCAAAAGAGACCTTGCAGGCAAGAAGGGGCTGGAAAGACGTATTCCAAGTCGTGAAATCTAAAGACCTACAACCAAGATTGCTCTATCCAGCAAAACTTTCATTTAGCATGGAAGGACAGATAAAGTGCTTCTCAGATAAGATCAAATTCAAGGAGTTCATCATCACCAAGCCCTTATTATATGAAATGTTAAAGGGACTTATCTAAAAAAAAGAAGTTAAAGAAACATGAACAGTGAAAGGACAACAAACTCACAGTTATTAACAACCACACCTAAAACAAAAGCAAACTAAAAGGACAGCTAGATCAGGAGTGGAAACATAGAAATGAAGATCTCAAGGAGGGTTAGCAACAGGGGAGTGGGAGGAGGAGATGGGGGGAGAAGGTACAGAAAATAAGTAGCATAGATGATAGATAGAAAATAGATGGGGGGGGCAAGAATAGTATGGGAAATATAGAATCTAAAGAACTTGAGACACATGGTCATAAACTAAAGGGGGGGTAATGGGGATGGGGAGGTAGGGTGGAGGGGAATGAAGGGGGGAATAGAACAACTGTAATGGCATAATCAATAAAAATAAATAAATTTTAAAAAGATACCTTTGATTAACTTTACACGAAGTTGCAAATGGAAAACCAATATCAATTCCATAAATAGAAGTAAACTGTAAAAAAACACTGAATACTTTTACTCGCTGAGGCCTATGAGGCTTGCTGTCTGTTAAAAAGGAAGAGTAAGGAGCCCTGGCCAGACAGCTCAGCTGGTTGAAGCACTGCTGGTTGAAGCGCTGGTTGAAGCAAAAGTTTGTGGCCTCAATCGCAGTCAGTGCACACACCTGGGTTGCGGGGCACATATGGGATGGAACTGACCAATGTTTCTCTCTCACATTGATGTTTCTCTCTCTCTTTCTCCTCCCCTCTCCAATCCCCTTCCACTCTCTCTGAAGTCAATAAATATATTCTAGAATGAGGATTTTTTAAAAAGGAAGAGTAAGGAATGATAGAGAGTGGGGAACAATACTTTCTATACGAGACAGGGTAAATTAACTCAGCCACATGACCACAAAAGAGTACTATGCAACTCTAAAACAGACTGTGGAGGGAAAATAAGTAGCATAGACAGTAGATAGAAAATAGATAGGGGGAGGGTAAGAATAGTAGGGGAAATATAGAATCTAAAGAAATTGAGACACGTGTTCATGAACTAAAGGGGGGCATGGTGGGGGAGGGGTGTGCAGGGTGGAGGGGAACCCTCCGTGTGCAGGGGGGAAATAGAACAAATGTAATGGCATAATCAATTAAAAAATGTCAAAAAAAATAAAACAGACTGTGGAGGACTGTAGGAACTGACATACAATCATTGTCAGGCATATAGTGAATAAAGCAAGGTTCCAAATAGAGAATATAATTTTTTAGTTACTGTGGTAAGTGAATAATGGTCTCCAAAAGATGTCTATGTTCCTGGAACCTATGAATATTACATTTCATGACAAAAGATGTGATAAAGTTAAAGATCTTGAGATGGGAGAATTATCCCAGATCATCCAGATTGGCCTTAAATACAATACCACAGACAAAAAAAGAAGAAGGTGATGCAACCATGGAAGCAGAGATTGGAGTAATGTGGCCACAAGCCAAGGAGTGCCTGTGGACACCAGAAACTGGAAGGAATATGTAACAGATTCTCCTTTAGAGCTTGTCAGGGAATGCAGCACTGCCAACACTTTGATTTTGGCTCAGTAAAACCAATGTGGACTATGAGACAATACTTCCTGTTGTCCTAAGCCACCAAGTTTGTTATAGCAGTCACAGGAAACTAGTATAGTAATAAGGATGAGAATATGAACATATATTCAGATTTGCTTGTATTTGCATAAAGAAACACTGGGAAGAACAAATAAAAAACTAACAGAGGCCACCAGTGCGGAGGAGCTGGATGGGATGAACAGAGGTGGGGATGAAAGCAAGACTTCTCAGGCAACAGGCAGAAAGAGAGGGGAAGTGGGACAGAGTGGCAGCTGGTGAAAGACGACAGAGGGCTGATCAGAGAAGAGATGGAGCACCCCAAGAGCAGAACCTTAGGGCCCACAGCCAGGAATTCTGTCTTCTGCAGTCCCTTCAGCCTTGGTCTGGGATCCAAATGCTCTCACCAGCCTCATTCTGGACACACGTAGGAAATTCAGTGTAGCAGCACTTCCCAGCCGCTATGCTGGGGCAAAAACAACTCCTTTACCTACTCTCTTCTTTCTTACTAACAAAACTCTAACTTTATTTGAGGCCATAATATGCCACGCTAAAACACTGTTTCTGGCATTCCTTTGCAGCTATTTGTGATGACAACTAAGTTCTGGCCAATGAATAGTTTCGTGTTTGAGACATCTGGGATGGTACCTTAAATGCAAAGGGGTTCTCAAGTGGAATCAGAGCATCTTGAGGGGCAAAAGAGGATAGTGAATATAATTTTTTTAAAAAGCTCTTTCTAATTTGGTCTTGCTCTCATTTTCTTTTGTTCCTCTGAATGGCAACATTTATGATGGGCAATAGCCCTCTCAAAAAATCTACTTTAAATGAACAGCCAGTGTCCTTTTTTCATAGAATACTTTAATCTTGTTTGTCTTATCTAGAGCATGGAGTAATATACACTGCTAGAAGCTCTTCTTTTCTTCCTTACTAACCCAAAATTTCTTCAGGGCTGTTAAATTCCCAGATAAAAGACTACATTCTTGCCCTGGCTAGTGTGGCTCAGTGGATTGAGCACGGGCCTGCAAACCAAATGGTTATTGGTTCAGTTCCCAGTCACGGCACATGCCTGGGTTACAAGCCAGGTCCCCAGTGGGGGTGTGTGAGAGGCAACCACACACTGATGTTTCTCTCCCTCTCTTTCTCCTTCCCTTTTCCTCTGTCTGGAAATAAATCTTAAACACACACACACACACACACACACACACACACACACACGCACACACGCCATTTCCCAGCCTCCTTTGCAGTTGGGGGCAACCAATGATGACCCAACACTGAGTGAAGTTTCTGAGAAGACTTTGTAGAGAGGGTTGACTTAGATTAGACCTGGGTCCTTTGTGCTCTTCCTCCTTCCTTTTTCTTCCTGCTGAAAATGTTAGGGCATGATGGCTGGGCACTGGCAGCCCTCTTGGATGAAGCTATATGCTAGGGATGACAGAACAGAAAGATAGGCCCTTCATCACTGACAGTTGTGGGAGCCTCCACACCAGTGCTAGTCGGCCAACCTCTGTACTTGTTTTATATGAGAAAAATAAATTCAGAAGTAGATTGTATCATTGTTGAAAATATTTGCTGCCCTTCACACGTGAAAACTACACATCTCTACTCCCTTCACCTGAGGCTTGCCATAGACTTGTTTTGGCCAAAGCAGTGAAATGACATGGGCCACTTCTAAATATTCAGTGTAGCAGAGTGATGCTCCCCACTATCCAGAAAACCAGTAATATTCCATACAGGGGGTGATTACTTCATCCCGAGTCTTCAATTAAGATAGAGTAGGGCCATGAATGACCTGCAAAGCACATAGTGTGAGCAAGAAATGAACCTTTCTTGTAATAAGGCATTGAGACTTTGAGTTGGTTACTGCAACATTACCATGATGCTTCCTACACACCCCATAATTTGTTGAAGTCATTATTATTTCAGGGTTTTGTCACTGCCATCCAGATGAATTTCCTAACTGAACCCCTACCCCACTAGAGCTGACTGGCATTTGTTCCTGAAGGCACCTAAAACAGAATTGTTTCCTTTGGCTGCTGGGCAGGCTTTTAAGTACCTTGGCAGTCACTTCCCTGGTTATGTTTCGTCTTGTTTCTACCTAGCATCCATGCCCTCTCCTGAATCACCTTTAGAAATTGCTCCTTACCCAACCCGCTCCTCACCCAACTCTTAGCTAAGAGGCTTCTACAAGACTGACTCAGGGGTGGACCTTGAGGTGGAAATGGACTAGTCTGTGAGAGGAACAGCCTGGCAGCCACTAGTGGGACTTATACAACACAGACATAACCTGATTTTTATACTCACCTGGCTGCTAGGTATAATTGTCATTCTCATTATATATGTGAAACACTTGGAAAAGTGCCTGGCATACAGTAAGTTATTGTTGTTGCTGTAAGGGAGGCAAGAATGGAAGCAGGGAGAGCAGCAAGCAGCTACCACACCACAGTGTCTTGGTAAGGGATGATGGCATGGTCCTGGCTGGGTAGCTTGGTTGGTTGGAATGTCATCCTGATGCACCAAGGTTGGTGGGTTTGAGCCCAGGTCAGGGCACATAGGCGGTACCAATGAACGCATAAATAAATGGAACAGCAGGTGGATATTTCTCTCTGAGAGAGAGATGGATGAATGATGGCTGGCTGGACTACACTGTGACAGAAGTGGGCAAACTGGGAATGGGGATTTTTAAAAAATTTCCTACTAGTTAAGATTTCTGTATTTGCATTTGTAACGAAATTGCCAATATGTTACAGTTCTTGTTGTGATTGTTGCAGGGTGGTTGTGTGTTTGGGGGGTAGAGTCAAAGGATGGGTTAATAAACAAGATTGGGGGCAATGGTATTAAAGAAAAGAAAGGATTATGGATGATGCCCAGATTGTGTATTTAGTTCTTCAATTTTGACCCCTTGCTTATCCATGAGCTGTCAGGGCAGGAACAAAATATGCCAGGCTCTTTTGTGTCCAGCAGGGTCACAAAGAAAATAATGTCTCTTCGCCCTGCTAATCCCACTTCTAGAGACTGCAAGCTGGACCAGGTGCGGAGAAAGGCATTTACTTTCGGGCCCCAGCCGCTGCAAGCCCCATTCCACTATTGTGATCACTTGTAGAACCTCACAGAGCGGTTTTCGGCTCGCAGTAGGCCGGCTGTGTTGGAGCAATTCGGAAGCCCGGCTGTCCAGCCCAACAGAGATTTTCCCTGTCTGCGGCAGTAGCTCTGTGGTCATCGGGAGCCGCCTCACCCCGCCCCGCCCCGCCCGCGCGCTCTCCTCCAGCCTCTAACAGAGGGACTGTAGCACTTCACGAGCCTTGGTAGGGAAGAGAGCGCCTGCGTACTATCTGTCCAGCCGGGTTACCACAGCTACGCCCTAGTCACAGCGAAATAGCTAGCTGTACGTCTGCTCTCAGTCACTGCGATTTTAGCACAGGTTCGCGCAGAGGTGGAGTCACAGCATTCCAAGCCCTAGTCAACTCATTAGTCTGTTTCGGCTCCGCCCTAGGGTAAATCCGGGAGACTGCCACTGCGTTGCTAGTTGCTCTGGGGAACTCAGCAGAAAGCGGGATGAGGCGGCTTTGGTCTTAGCCACGTAAAAGTTAAAACCAGTAGGTTTCAGTGATTGATCAAAACGCAGATTGGACGTAACCCGCCGCCATTTCTTAAACCTAGCTGTAGCTCCACCCCGCGAAACACTCCGCTCCTCCTCTTAACCTTCATTGGTCAAAAGCACCATCAGGCAGCCCTGAGATTGGCCACACCTGCAGATACCGCATCCAATGGGTGGCGGCGCCAGCTTTCCCGCGGCGGTTCGTTATTTGCGTAGTGGCGGTTGAGGCGGTTGAAGAGTGAAACGGTAGTCTGGCGCCTGTGCGACCATGGCGGCCTTGGGACCTGGAGGTTGTGTGCGGAACGATGCAGTCGAGAAGCTGCCATCTATTATGGCGGGAATTCCAGCGCGGAGGGGCCAGTCCTCCCCGCCCCCAGCTCCCATGCTCTGCCTCCGTCGGCGGCCGCGACTCCCCGCGGCGCCCGAGGACTCAGTGCAGAACCGGGTGAGGAGCTGTCTACCCTTCCCTGTCCAGGTCCTTCCCTTAGATCTTTGATCCCGCCTGGCTTCTGGCTTTTAGCGCTCAGACCTAGTTGCGCCCCTCAGCCCTGCCCCTCTAGTCAAGGCTCCCTCCACTTTCGGGTCTCCTCCTCTCTCGGGTACTGCGTGTCATTACTAGCCCCGCCTCTCAAACCCTGGCCCCACCCTCAGTCCATGGAATATTCCTGGGTTCCTCTGTGGTCCTGCTTTCCTGCATGTGTGCCCCTTCAGTCTTTAGACGTCTCTCTGGGCCCTTCCACTTTTGTTGACCTCGCTCCGGCTATGTCTTTAGGGCCCTGAGTCTTACCCGCCCCAACTCTCCCTCAGCTCTTCCCTTTCTTCCCTCTCACCCCCTGCCTTCTCTTTCGTTCTCCCTTACCAAGTGGAATTCTTATTCCTTATCGCCAACCTAAATTATGGGGAGAGTGTGAGTAATTGTAAAACCTCAGCAGTGCTGCGTAGGGGGAGGGCTTACAAAAGTCCTGAGACATAGACAAAGGAGATGATTTTAGAGTGAGTGGAGGGAATTCCATTGCACAGCAGCTATTTTAAAAATTGTTCTCCAACTCTCTGAGCCCCAAAGTATGCTTTTTATAAAATGGAGAAAATAACCATGCCATGGAGTTGCAGTGAGATGAAATGAAATTGTATGACCTGCTTGACACAGAGTCCGACAAAAGATGGATACATGGTAGATGCTTGTGGATTCCTTCTGCACTCTGATTATATCACCCACTACTAGCTGGGAGGCCCTGGACAAGTGACCCCTCTCTGTCGTACCTCCCTCACCCTTCTTCTGAAAAAGGTTAAGTGAGGATTAAAAAAATATTTTTTAAAAAAGGTTGAGTCTCATTGTTCTGCTGTTTTCTTGAGCAACGAAGCTCTTTCCCGCTTCCCAGCCTTTGCCTTTGGTGAGTCCTTTGTGCTGTTTGCCTCAGTCTACCTGGCTGGCTCCTCATCCCTCAATTCTTAGCCTGATTATCTCTACCAGAGGCCTTGAACTCCAGCCTAAAACAAACATCCATCTTAATCTCCCACCCAGCTACCTATACTTCATAGCCTTTTATCTTGTATGTTCCTGAAAGTGTCTTGTCAGCTCTAAGCTTTCTATTATGTAGAGGAATAACGATGGCAACTTCAAAGAAGCAGTATAGCAAGGTGGATAAGGGCATAACCTCTGGACCCAGACTGCCTGGGTGTAAACCTTAAGCTATTCTTCCTGTTACGAACTTTTCTGTACCTCAATTTCCTCATCTGTAAAATGAGGATAATAGTATAAATATTCCCTTATAGAGTATTTGTGAGGATTAAGTGAGCTCAACATACCTTAAGCACTTAGAACAACACCTGGTATGCAAATACTCTTATTAGTAACATAATTATACTGTTATGATTGTGTATTTTAGGTTATTGGTATTATTTATTTATTTTCCTTGTTTGGTGGTGCAGAGTCCACCTGGCTTGCAAAAGACCTAGTCTAGAAATGACTAGTTATACTAATGCCCAGTAGTGCTGATTGACAGATAAAAAAACATGAGTGCCATTGCCTGGTTGCTTGGGATAAAGTCCTGGCACTGCTCTTTGTTGGATGGGAAATCCCTCCGGGCCTCTGTTCCTCATCTGTGAGATGAAAATGATGTGGAATGACCAAAGCACAGGGTTATTATTAAATAAGTCAACACAATCATAGTTAGCCAATAAATGTTAGCTATTATTGTCCCATATTTGCCCTCCATTTCTGAGGCTAGGTACGTGCTTGAGAATGTTTTACTTTATAATGATTAGAAACTAGCCTGGCCAGAGTGGCTTATTTGGTTGGGCATCAACCTGCAAACCCAAAGGTCACCAGTTAGATTCTAGGTCAGGGCATATGCCCGGGTTGTGGGTTTGGTCCCAGTTGGGGTGTGTATGGAAGGCAGCCGATCGATGTTTCTCATCCACATCAATGTTTCTCTCCCTTTTTCCCTTCGCCTCTCTCTAAAATAAAAAAATTGAAACAAAAAATTTTAATAGAAACTAGTCTATTCAAAATATGAAAGTATGCAATTCTATGAGTCCATACTCTAAACTGTCTGATCAACCATGATGGAGACTGGTGCATTTAACTTACTTTGCTTAGAGAGTTTTTCAATTTAAATGTGACTGTTCACGTTTTTCTTTACTTGTTGAACCAATAGACTATAAATTTGATGAGGGAATGGAGAGTGTCCACTTTTGCTGCTGTGTCTCCTCCCCTGCAGGGCCCAAAGTGCTGGCTTTGGAGCCTGACTAACTGGGTTCGTATCCCTACCTTGCCACTCTGCTGCTGTGGGACCTTGGACCTCAATGTCCTCCTGTAAAAGGATGCTGATAATAGTGCCTTTTTTTTTTTAGGTTGATGTAGAGTTTCAAGTCTTTCATCCACACAGAATACTTAGAAATTTTTTCAAAGGTCACCTTCTTAGTGAGGCCTTCTCCCCTTCCCCTGTGCTTCTAATTTCCTTCCCTGCTTTGCCTTTCTCTTTTTTCTTTTCTTTCTTTCTCTTTCCCTTTCTCTTCTCTTTCTCTCTCTCTCTCTTCTGTTCTTTCTTCCTTTCTTTCCCCTCCCTCCCCTCCTCCCCTCCTCCCCTCCTTCCATCCTTCCTTCCTTCCTTCCTTCCTTCCTTCCTTCCTTCCTTCCTTCCTTCCTTCCTTCCTTCCTTTTTCTCAACCAAGGATATGTTTATTGATTTTAGAGAGAGAGACATTGGTGTGAGAGCAAAATATTGATTGGTTGCCTACCGTATATGCCTTGCTTGGAGATCCAACCTGCAAACTTACGGTGTATAGGACAACATTCCAACCAACTGAGCCATTCACCAGGGCTGCTTTGTTCTTCTTTATTGCTCTTATCATCACCTGGTATTTATTTTACACATTTTTCCTGTTTACTTTCTTGGAATATCCTCCATCCTATCACTCCCAGAATGTGAGCTCCAGAAGGGAATGGATTTTTTTGTCTGTTTTTCTTACCATTCTATGTCCTTCACCTGGCACTGTTTATTTGTCAAAGAACTGTTGAGGAAAACAAGGGTTAGATGGAGGTAGATGACTATAGAAGTTTGGTGAGTGTGTTCAATATAACAGGAACAAAATGAATTCCTGTTATATGCCACATGGGGCCTGTGGGGGCAGGTGCTTTTGACTTGAGCGTTTTCCCTGCAGGTGTCACTGGAGAAGGTGCTTGGCATCACAGCCCAGAACAGCAATGGCCTAACCTGTGATCCCAGCACAGGCCACGTAGCCTACCTAGCAGGGTGAGTGAGTGGATGAGCCTCAGCTTTTCCATCTGTAGAATGCAGATAATAGAATGTGGAATGCTGCCTATCTTTGTGGGCTGTGGAGAGAATTCCATGGCACTATGAAAGCCTTATTGTGACTGCAGGTGGGAGGTGGCAGCGATTACAGGAAAGACAGCCAGGATTTGTGTCCCACCTCTACCATGTGCCCCTTTCTGAGCCTCTGCTTCTATGTCTATAAAAAAGAAATAGTGATACCCTTTTCTTAGATAGTTGAAAGTACTGAAGGACATTCTGCCACTGTTTATTCCAAAAATACTGATGTAGCCTGATACAGTTCTAGGTTCCAAAGAGAAACCCCTTAACCCTTACAGGGCAGGGCAAGACCCATGGTCATTTCTGATGAACAGTTATTGAGTCTCAGGGAAGTAAGCAGTTCAGGATAGAGGACAACAGCAGGCTCTTGAATCTGACAGATATAGATTCACATTCCCACTCTGTCCCAGACATACTTGGTAGCCTTGGACAAAGGACTTCCCCCCTCTGGGCTTCAGTTTCCTCCTCTGTAAAATGGGACTAAGATTCCAGACCTTACCTGGCAGTTGTAAGGATTTAAAGAGATAATGCACATTAAGTATTAACCCAGGGCCTGGCAGGAAAGTTTCCCAAGAGAAAGTGTCTGTTTCTATTTAAGAACATGTTTTAGCAATAATGTGAAGTGCCTTAGAATTCTCAGCATAGACACCTGGAAAAGGAGGTGAACAGAGAGATTCTTCTGCTCAGAGGGAACCTTGTTTATCTGTGGGCTTCTGCTGGAAACGGGATATCCCTTGACCTTAATACTCCCCTCAGTTTGGGCACATTTTCTTCTTTCTCCCCAGCTGTGTGGTGGTGATTTTGGACCCTAAGGAGAACAAGCAGCAGCACATTTTTAATGCTGCCAGGTAAGCTGGGGCCTGAGCATGGGCAGGGGTGGGACCATGGAAATACTCATGGTTGGATGACCCCTTCATTCACTCACCCATAAGTATAAGTTCAGCAACATTCAACAAGTTTCTCCTCAGTGTTAGGTACTGTCCCATGTGCTGGCGACACAGCAGTGAACAAAAGAGATGAGAATCTCTGCTCTCTGTAGGGCTGATAGTTCAGCAGGGGAGATAGACTAAGCCAATTGGCTAGCAAGCCCACTGTAACCACTGCTATGGGGAAATGATGAGGGATGTGTTAGGGCAAATTTGTAGGCACAGAGTAGGGGAGAAGCCATATCAGAGGGCTCTGGAAATGGTTCCCTGAGGCTGACACCTGCAGGAAGTGAGGGGGTGACCTATGTGAAGGTGAGAGGAGAATGTTTCCAGCAGAGGGAACAGCAAGGGCAAAGGCCTGGCACTGGTTAAGAATCTTGGCTTGTTTGAGAAGCAGTGAAGGATCCATGTGCCTGGAATGGAGGAGTGGGTGAGGGGGAGAGGAGGGTGGAACAGGCAGAAGCCACATCACATGGGCCTTGGGGAGGGGGGTTGGATACTGATTGCAAAGAGAAGCTATTACAGGGTGTTTATAGACTAGGGGTATGCTTTCCAGCACCCTCAATCTCCCTTTTCTGTTTTACTTTTCACCACAAAATATATTCCTTTGTCATATGCTATCTAATTTCCTCACTAATGATACTACTGTCTATCTGCCTTCTAAAGAGTGAGCTCTATGAGGGCAGGGACTTTCTCAGTGAATTTCTATGTCCCTTTCACCTAGAGCAGTATCTAGCATTTTGCTGACGCTTGCTATTTCATGAATGAATGGGATTTAGAAAGATCCCTCCAGCTGCCAGTTTATTGGGGAAGGCCCTTGGCCCTGGGTAGGCCCAGCCTGGTGCCTGGGGTCTGCTTTGTAGCTGATTGATCACTGTGTCATCTGGCAGATGGCATGGAAATGGTCCCCTCTCAACCATTGATAGGTCTGGCTTAGGAGGTGGTGTGGCCAGTAGAGGTTGTCACTCTGGCTGCATTTCAGAGTCACTGGACTGGTCCTCACTCTCAGAGACAACTTGATCATTGGTCTGTAATGGGGCCTGGATATTGGCAAATTTAAAACTTTTTATATTGAAATGATTTTAGACGTAAAAATATTACAAAGTGTGTGTATACCTTTTACCCAAACTTCTCAAATATTAACATTTTACCACATTTGCTTTATCATTCTCTCTTCATATACATAATAATTTTTTTCTGAATCATTTGAGAGTAAGTTGTAGACATGACATCCCTGTATCTCTGAATACTTTGGCTTGTATTTCCAGAAAAAAAAAAAATGGCATGGTCCTTCTACCACAGTACATTCAACAATATCAGGAAATTAAAATTGGTACATCACTACCATCTACTTCTCATTCAGATTTTACTGTTTGTCCTAAGAATGTCCTTTATAGCAAAAGGATTTTGTCCAGAATGATGCATTGAGTATATTGTCTCTTCATTCTCCCTCAGTCTGAAGCACTTTCTCCAAAAGTCAATTTCTTCTTGACTTTTGTGACCTTGACACTTTTGAGGATTATAGGCTAGATATTGTAGAATGTGCTAACACTTAGGTTTAGCACATACATAGATTTTCTCATACATAGATTAAGGGTCTGCATCTTTGGCAGGAATGCTCAGAATGGATTCTGTGTTCTGCTCAGTACATTCTATCAGGAAGTTCATGATCTCCCATGACTGATGGTGTTTACTTTGAACCCTGGGTAAAGGTGGTATCTCTCAGGGTTCTCCTCTGTGAAGCCTCTCTTTTTCCTTTTGAGATTAAGTGAGTATCTTAGCAGGAGCTTCTCTGAAACTTTGCAGCTATTACCCTGTTCTTCGCCAAACTTTTACTCACTAGTCTTAGCATGGCTTTGAAATTTTTAAAAATCTCCCCAGGGAATTCTGACATTCAGCCAGGACTGAGGACCTCTGGCCTAGACTCCAGGGCTCTGCCCTGTCTGGTTAGGTAACCTTGGGGAGGGGACTTCCCTGTGTTAAAGTCTCCTCGTCTCAAAACTGGTTAGTGAGAATTCTGACTTCATTTAATATGTGTGAAGAATCAGTGTACTGATGCCTGTATAATATTTGGTGGAAGTTTGGGCCAAGGTCGAGGCACATGACAGGTTAGAAGTACCTGCAGACAATAGAAACCCCACAACAAACATGGTTTAAGCACAAGGGCATGTTCTTTCTGCATATAAGTCTGGAGGTGGGCACCCAGGGGGTGCTCGTGTCTTTGTGGGCCTTAAGGACCCCACTTCTGTCTTGTGGTTCTACCATGCTTATTGTGAGGCTTCTGTTCACGAAGTTGCCACTTGAGTGAAAATGGAGTTCTAGCTGTCATGTCCTTTTTTTCAGAAGGGGAACAAGTAGGAAGCAGGGCAGAATTATCTTTGAGAAGCTCATCTGGAAATTACACACAGCACCTCTCGTTGGCCAGACTAAGTCATGTAGCCATACCTGTGTAGCTACAAGAGAGGTGAGGAAATGTACACTAGCTGGGGACATTGCCATCCCACTTAAAATTAGTATTCTGTCAGCAAGGAAGAAGGGGTGAGTGCCTATTAGGTAGGCAGTTTGCCTTGTCTGCTGATTTAGGAGCAATGGGAAGCCACCAGAGGTTTGAATTGATGATGATAAATGTTATATGAGATTGTGAAAGTCTTACTCAGAGGCATTTATTTACTTAGTTATCTGCACACCAGTTTACACATGTGAGGGAGATGATTACTGAATTGTTAAGGAACAGATTTAAAAACAGTGTTAAAAGAGGGAGAAAAAAACAATACAGTCTGGGAATAGTGAAACCTGTTGCCAAAAAACTTGTAAATTAGTCTGGTCATTTAGTTGTTTAGGGTAACTGGAAGTATCAGAAAAAGAAGTTGGTTGTTAACAATGGGCTTTCAAGAACACCTTGAGTGATTGCATGGGCTGTACTGTTTCAGTGTGATGTCTGCCAGGGTCCTCCCTTCAGCACTACCTCCATACTTAGACCAGATCTGTGCCATTTCCTGCATCTGAATTTCTCAGGGTTACAGGGCTGGTGGGTCTTAGGAAGCCCACTGCTGTAGAGGGAAAGGGAGGTGGGTCCCCATTCAGACATGTCCACCTCATGTGGGTTTGGAGTTTTAGGGTGGAAGGGACCTTGACTTGTATAGAACCCCATTTGTCTATGTTGCTGCCCCCTTCTCCTAGCAGCAGGGAATGCAGGATGGCTGAGCACACAGGCAACATTGGCTCTATAGGATCTGCTCATGCTCACTTCTGGCCTCTTCCAGGTTTGGGAGTGAGGACTGGGCAGAATTCTGTGAGCATAGCCAGGCTAGGGTCTGGCAGTCCATCCTTTAGTGGAATCAGTGATCAACCCATTTCCTTGCCCTCAGGAAGTCTCTGAGTTCTCTGGCCTTCTCCCCTGATGGGAAGTACATAGTGACGGGGGAGGTGAGTTGTGATCACAATTGAGTAGGTGGGGAAGGGTCTTGGGGCCATTTTTCTGTCCTTACCAGGCCTGGGAAGTCCCTAAAATAGCTCCTTCCTGGACCAGAAAAGCCTTGTGGCAGATGGGGGAGGTGGCTTTGGGCACATCCTGGGGCAATGCCAACTTCAGCCCTGCCAGCCCCTCTATCCCTGCCTGGTATAGAACCCAGCAGCAGTAACAGCCCCACCTTTCCTAGAACGGGCAGAGGCCTACTGTGCGAATCTGGGATGTGGATGAGAAGAGTCAGGTGGCAGAGATGTTGGGCCATAAGTACGGCGTGGCATGTGTGGCCTTCTCCCCCAATATGAAGCACATTGTGTCCATGGGCTACCAGCACGACATGGTACTCAACGTCTGGGACTGGAAGGTGAGCTGACTGGTGGGTGTGTAGGCTAGTAGCTGGCTGCCAGAGCATCCTGAGTCTCAGGCATTGGAAAAACTAAATGAGATAACTTGGTAAAGTGCTCATTCATCCGGCAAATATTTTTTGAGCACCTGATCTCTTTTAGGCACTTATTGAAGGGCATATGACAAGTTCTCAACTAGTGGAATGGATAATTATTTTTATATTGACCAGCTGTGGGTCTGTTTCCTGATCTGTGAAATGGATATTATAGTGTCCACCTGGTTGAATTATGATACTTCAATGAATTGATATGGAACACTGGACACTGGAATAGCTGGAGGAGGACTTGGAGTCAGCAGAAGTGGGTACCAAGTCCTGGTTCTGTTCATAACTTGCTATGTGACCTTAAACACGTGATATCCCCAACTCAACATGGCAGAGTGGGAGGAGAAGCACCTCTTTTATAGAGCTATTGAAGGATTCTGTGAGTTATGCTGTGAAGGGCTCAGCAGGGCCCAGAGTGAGAGCCGTATCAATGGCAGCCATGGGTGTGTTATCCTTACCTCCCAGCTGTGGCTGTTCTCAACATCATGTGCAGCTGTAGAGCTTGAACTCTTAAGGAGAGCTCTGGAACTTACTCTTACATGGGAACCTTTCCAAGCCTTAGTCTCCTCTGTAGTGGGAATAAGAGTGCCACATGTAGGTTCTCCCATAAAGTAGCTTACCAGAGGTCCCAAGGAAACAGACTTGGAGTCAGGGAGACTGGGCAGGGCTGAGGGCAAAAGCAGAGAGCAGTGGTCCAGTGTGGTGGGTGTTGGCATGAACTTTTCTATAATGATTCTTCCAGAAAGATGTTGTGGTGGCTTCCAACAAGGTATCCTGCAGGGTCATCGCCATCTCTTTCTCAGAAGACAGCAGCTATTTTGTCACAGTTGGTAACCGGCATGTGAGGTTCTGGTTCTTAGAAGTGTCCACTGAAGCAAAGGTAAGCTTTTGTCCCTGCCACCTCACAGAGGGCCGGGGAGTAACTGTCTGGCCTCTTAAGGGTCTGGCTTCTGCTTTTGGCCTGCTCTCTAGGTGCTCACTGGCAGGGGCCTGCTAGAAAATCTCCCCATCACATTTCCCTCCCTTGACCCTGGGGCCAGACCTTGTTCCAGGACTGCCGCCTTCTAACCATTATGCCTGGAAGTGTTCTCCATTTTTTTCCCCCTCCTCCACTTGGAGGAGTTTCTTAGGTTCCTCCTGTTTAATTATATTATTGCTCTGGTCATGAAAGTCCCATCATGACATTGTCTCCTATGCCCTGCTATGAGGCTATGTGAACACTGTCTCACTGTGCCCTGCTATGCCTCCAGGTGACGGGAACGGTGCCCCTCCTAGGACGCTCAGGTATCCTGGGTGAGCTGCACAACAATGTCTTCTGTGGTGTGGCGTGTGGCCGAGGTCAAATGGCAGGCAATACCTTCTGTGTGTCCTATTCGGGTCTCCTCTGCCAGTTCAATGAAAAGAGGGTGCTGGAGAAGTGGATCAATCTGAAGGTACCCAATCTTTCTGCTATCAATGGGGAAACCACTCTTTCCATGACATGGTCTCCTGGGACACTCAGCGGTCTTTCTGCCCGGTAGTTGATCACACCAACCCTGGGTTTGACTTCCAAGTTCTGCTTGTGTGACTCTGGTGAATGACTTTGCCTCTCTGAGCCTCAGCGTCCTCCTCTGTAAAAATGGAAATACTGCTGCCTACCTCAGAGTCCATAAGGGAGTCACATGAGATAAGATAAGTAAGGCACTTCACACAGTGCTTGGTACCCTGTAATGGGGTTGTGGGGTAAAGGTTACGATTTCTTTCTTCACTGTTTGATTCAGTTCACATTTCTCCACTGAACACTCTTGACTAATAGTACAACTGTGCTTTTAAAGAACTGTAGGTATCATTAACTTAATCATTTTCAGTCAAAAAAGACTATACCAGAAAACAACATTTTACTTATTTATTTTTAGACAGAGGGGAATGGTGGGAGAAAGAGAGAGAAACATCGATGTGTGCTTGCCCCTCACACACACCCCCACCGGGGACCTGGCCTGGGCATCAAACCAGCGACCCTTGGGTTTGTGGGCTGGCACTCAATCCACTGAGGCATGCCAGCCAGGGCCAAAAACAATATTTAAACTAAAGGATCAATAAATTGCAGAACCACTTCCCTTCAAGATCTGAGGATCTGAGTCCAAGCTGTGTTCCTATTCTCAGATTTGGAGGCCCATTTGGCTGTCATGTCTGTTTTCCTTCCTTTTTCTATTCCTGCTCTTGTGACCCCTGTGCACCTCGTCTTTAGGGTTAATGGCATGGTGTCAGACATATGGACTAAGTCTGAGTCTTTTCTGTCCTTGATACTTCTTCTTTTTCTTATTTATTTATTTATTTATTTATTTATTTATTTATTTATTTATAGAGAGAGGAAGGGATGGAGAAAGAGAAGGAGAGAAACATTGATGTGTGGTTGCCCCTCACATGGCCCCCCACTGGGGGACTTGGCCTGCAACTCAGGCATGTGTCCTGACTGGGAATCAAACCAGCGACCCTTTGGTTCACAGCCCGTGCTCAATCCACTGAGCTACACCAGCCAGGGCTTTTTTTTTTTTTTCCTTGTTTGAATCCTCTGGCTGGAACTCCTGCAGCTTTTAAGCATGTCAGAAGGTTTTGACAGATAGATGTGTAGCTCCTGAGCAGCTGTCATGAATGACTCATAAATTAAGTCTATAGATTTGGAAAAACTCCTCTAATCAGTGTCCAGAGTTCTGGCACTTCTTGCCTGCCTAGCTACATGTCATGGCAGTATAGACAGTCCTTCCTATGTACAGTAATTTTATTCTATGCTGCTTTGAAGTATAATCTCAATGAAGTTGTTTTTAAGCAATAAGGAATAACATTTCAGCCCCAAATTTAACCCTTTTACCACAAGTGACCTATCTGAAGTCATGGTCTACTGAACAGATATTTTCCACCCACAGCTGAATTCTTCTGTAGGTAGCAATGACAACCCTTTCCTAATCTGTGCCTCTGTCTACCTGCTGGCACATTTCCTTCAATAGTGACCTTACGCTATATCTGACTTCAAAAACCTTAAAATGTACTAAGATGGGCTACTTAGACCCAAGAAACTATAAGGCTTCTCTAGAGGCCCAAGGCTGCTGTTCTGCAGTCCCCATGTCCCTGAACTGGGCCACACGAAGCACAAAGTCCATTTGGGTCCCTTTTGCCCCCACAGGTCTCCCTCTCATCATGCCTCTGTGTCAGTCAGGAGCTCATCTTCTGTGGCTGCACCAATGGGACAGTTCGCATCTTCCAGGCCCACAACCTACACTACCTTGCCAACCTGCCTAAGCCGCACTACCTTGGGGTGGATGTGGCTCAGGGCCTGGAGCCCAGGTACTACCCGACAAGGGGAGGGAGAGGGGCCCACCCAGAATCTGTCTGCTGGTATGCATCCACGCTTCTAGATCCATCTACACACTGGCCAGCCTTAGGCAAGGAGCAGGATACAGCTATAATGAGGCAGCAACATTTCTGCCACCGTGAAGTCTTCAGTCTAGTGAGGGAGATTGATAAACAAGTACACAAATAAGATAATTTCAGATAGTCATAAATGCTTTTGCAAAAATAAAACAAACTCAGGAAGGAGAGTGGCTGGGGGTTGGGGCTGTATTGTTTGAGTGGCCAGGGGAAGCCCCTAGTGAGAAAGGGCCAGCTGTGTGGAGAACTGGGTCCTGACAGCAAGTGGAAAGGCCTTAAGGGGACAGCACACTGGTCCTGTTGTGTTTCAGGAAAACCTACAGGCTGTGTGGCTAGAGTCCAGTGTGCCAGGGGGAGGGAGTGGAGTTGGGGTGGGGGAGAATTGATGGAGGCTGGTGGGAGGAGCTCGTAGTATATTCTGAGGGCCATGGGCAGCTACTGGGTATTTAGGCCTTGGCATTATGTGATCGGGCTTTGAGCATTAGATCCCTCCGGCTGCCATGTTGAGTGGGTGGAAGGGCTGCGCTGTGACATATTTTCCCTTTGCTGTAAGTCATTTTGGGGGGGGTGCGGGGAGCTTCCTAACCAGGGGGTGCTGGGTGCCTGGGGTGGCCTCTTTGTAGATTGTGGGACACTATCTCCTGATGCCTTTTCTAATAGCCTGGAGGGGGCTATTGGGTGTCTCAAAGGAAAGGCAGGGTGGGTCAGCAACCCACAGACAGTGGTTTGTTGTAGTACGCAGGCTGCCCATCTCTGCCAGCTTCTGCTTTGCTATGCGGCCTCAGGCAAGTCACTGTATCAACCCGTGCTTCAGTCTCTCCCTCTGTAAAACAGAGTACCTACGTCTCATGGAGGTTGTGGGGATTCAGTGCAGAAAGTTCTTTGCTTGGCTCACAGTAGGTGCTCAGTAAACTGTAGCCTTTGTAGGGAGGTGCCAGGCCAGAGTATGACTCCCCTGTTCCCTTGCACAGAGATTTTTGGTGATGTGTGGTAGAGCCCTTGAGAGAGAAGGCCTGAGATATGTGCCCATTTTCCTTCCATGCTCCGAGAGAGAGAACAGAGCTTGAGTTGGATGAAATGAGGGGAGAAAAATACAACAGGAGTTGAAAATTCAGATGCTCTCAGGGGCCAAGTGGAAGCTGTCACTTTACAACCTCTGTATTAGAAGCAAAGCAAAGGAGGACAGAGGAAAAAGTAGAGTTGGAGTGGGACAGATGTGATGCGGACACTGGCCCGCACTGTCTATGGCGTTGTGGATGAGACAAGAGAAATTCACACGGATTACCCAGTCCTGTGGAGAAAAAGGGACGGCACAGCCACTCTCACAAAAGGAGAGCACCTTGACCCTTCCCTTGACAGGCTTTTATTGGGTTGAATTAGCACAGGAATGCTGGGTATATACGTAAAGCTCATCAGTCATTGTCAGGCAGAAATGATTAAACAACAGATAACATTCAAAGAACTCTGAGGGCTTATTCTGAGTCAGGGTCAGATAGTTACAGGGCCATAAAACTTTGGGAAACAAACTCACTTCCACTTCAAGCTTAGACACTCATCATTTAAATTGAGGGCATTCGTAGCAAAGCAGGTTTCCCAAGATTCTATGCATTCTTTCTTAGGCCTGATCACCCTGGGGAACCCACCCCTTCCAGCACAGGGCCACACCCACCTCCAGCATTGTTTTAGGCTTAGGTCAAGCAGGGGAAATAAGGCAGCCGGGAGATTAGGAGACTTCTCGCAGACAGAATGAGGACTTAGGCTATGTCAAAGCTGAGGGGCGAGAGTCCATCATCCCCTTTCTCCATAGGCCCCCAAGCCCTCCCCTGAGGGTCCTCTTGTGACCGTGTCTGTCTTAGGTCATCCCTCCCTTGAGGAATCTTACCCATCATTGGCTAAACGGTCATACCCTGCAGGCCAGGTAGGATGAAGCCCTGACAGAGGGATAAGCTTTGTCTCCTTAATGGCTTATTGTCACAAGGTCTTTTTACTCAGCCTTAGCCATGGGGGATTACAGCTTCTGAAACCAGGCAGGGTGGTTCCCCAGCACAGATGGACCACCATCGCATTGACTTGAGGTAGCTCAAGTGTCTGTTACTACCCACAGTGACACTGATGGTGACTGATGACCTGTCGTTGCCTCGTTAGCTTCCTCTTCTGCGGGAAGGCAGAAGCAGTCTACCCGGATACAGTGGCACTGACCTTTGACCCCATCCACCAGTGGCTGTCCTGCGTGTATAAGGACCACAGCATCTATATCTGGGATGTCAAAGACATCAACAAAGTAGGCAAGATGTGGTCAGAGCTCTTCCACAGCTCCTACGTGTGGAACGTCGAGGTGAGCCCCTCTCTGCCTCCCCAGCCCTTGCTCAGCCCCCATTTGAAGAAAGCTTCTGCAGAGTTTGGGGAACCCATTAAGCCATTCCTTCAAAATGGACTGCAGCTATGCGCCAGGTCCTGTTCTAGGTGCTGAGGACACAACTAGGAAGGAAACTGACAAAAGTCCTTCCATCTTGGAGCTCACATTTGGGTGGGAAGGTAAGCCCATAAACAATAAATATAAAACATGACAAGTAGCAGTATCTCTCAGAAGAAAAATGAAGCAGAGCAGGGGAAGAGGAGCCCAAGAGTGCTTGCTCTTTCAGAGAAGGAGAGTGGTCAAGGAAGGCCTCTCTAAGAATGTGACTTTCAAGTAGAGAGACCTGCAGGAAAGGGGGTAAGGGGGGGAGGGGAAGAGGCATGTGACTTCTTGGGAGAATGGGAAGAGCAAAGGACCAGTAGCAGGAGCCCGTGTACCTGAGGGAGCCTTCTGTGGAGGCCGTTGTTGTCATTTAGTGCTTTTTTATGCAAGCATTGAGGAAGTTTTTATTTTCTGAGAACGAATCTGTGGGGATTTTTTATTCTCTAAAGTTGTAAGTACTCCTTGAAGATTAGACAACTGGTGGAGAAAGAATTGTATTCTACTTTTTTTCCCCTGAAAATTTCTTACTACAAGCATGTTTGTCCTAGAGAATCTGTTTTCAGTGTCCAAATTGAGAATTGAGAAAAACAACTTTTTTTCCCCAAAATATTTTACTTATTTATTTTTAGAGAGAGGTGAAGCCAGAGAGAGAGGGAGACAGGAACATCTATCGGTTGCTTCTGTAAGCCCCCCTGCCTAGGGACCAAACCCACAACCCAGGCATGTGCCCTGACTGGGAATTGAACCAGAGACCCTTTGGTCCACAAGCCAGTGCTCAGTCCACTGAGCCACGCCAGCCAGGGCTTACCTACTTATATTTTAGAAGTTAGGAGAATATCTTGTCACCTGGTTTTGCAGTAAATATTGTCCATAGGGTTTCGATTTTACTCTCTGGTTGTTCTTTTTTTTATTTGAGGATTTTGGATTTAAAAATCTATGCTGGTGCTATTATCATCTTCTCAGGAACCAGTCTTCCATATTTTGAAATTTATATGTTGTCTCTGTCTTTCTGAGTAGTGTCTAGCTCTGTCTTTCCATCCCTTAATTTTCGACTGTGTCTAATCTTTGGTTTTTAATGTTTCATTTTTTACTATTTATTTATTAATTGCCTATTTTGTTTGTTAGTTTATTTTTTTTCATTAGATTCTACATATAAGTCAGATCATATGGTAATTGTCTTTCTCTTGCCTGTTTCACTTAGCATAATACCCTCTCGGTCCATCCACTATGTTCCAAAACATTCCTTCTTCTTCTTATTTTTTAAATATATCGCTTATCGTTGTTTTTTTCCATGCCATTTAGGCCCCTTATACTGCCCTGCCACCAGCAGTCACCACACTGTTCATGTCCATGAGTCCTTTTTTCTTTTTGCCCATCCCCTCCACCCCCTAAATTCCTCCACCCCAGCTGTCATCCTGCTCTGCATCTATGAGTCTGTGCCCATTTTCCTTGTTAGTTCACTTTGTTCACTAGATTCCACACATGAGGGAAATCATATAGTATTTGTCTTTCTCAGACTGGCTTATGTCAATTAGCTTAATGTTCTCCATCCACAATCTCTCAAAGAGTAAAATTTTCTTCTCTTTTAGGGCTGAGCAGTGTTCTATTATGTAAGTGTCCCATAGTTGTTTTATCCACTCATCTACTTACTGACAGACACTTGGGCTGCTTCTATATCTTGGCGATTGCAAATAACGCTGCACTGAACATAAGGGTGCTTATGTTCTTTTGAATTAGTGTTTTGGATTCCTTTGGATATATTCCCAGAAGTGGGACAGCTGGGTCAGAAGGCAGATCCATTTTTAATTTTTTGAGGTATCTCCATACTGCTTTCCACAGTGGCTGCACCAGTCTGCATTTGCAACAACAGTGCAAAAAACGGTCCCCCTCTCTCCACATCCTCCCCAACACTTGTTGTTTGTTGATTTATTGATGACAGCCATTCTGACAGGTGTGAGATGATATCTTATTGTGGTTTTAATTTGCTTTTCTCTGAGGATTAGTGACACTGAGCATCGTCCCATATGTCTATTGGCCATATGTTTGTCCTCTTTGGAGAAGCGTCTATTCAGGTCCTTTGCCCATTTTTTAACCGGGTTGTTTGTGTTTTGGGGGTTAAGTTTCATAAGTTCTTTATAAATTTTGGATATTAATTATTTATCAGATGTATCAGGGAATATGATCTCCCATTCTATGGGTTGTCTTTTTATTTTGTTGATGATTTCCTTTGCTATGTAAAATCTTTCTAGTGTGATGTAATACCATTTTTTTCTTTTGTTTCCCTTCCCTGGGGAGATATAGCTGATAAAATGTTGCTATGAGCAATGTCTGAGATTTTGCGGCCTATGTTTTCTTCTATGGTTTTTATGGTTTGGGGTCTAACATTGAGGTCTTTGATCCATTTTGAATTTATTCTTGCGTGTGGTGTGTGTGAAGGTGGTGTAGTTTCATTTTTTTTGGACATGTCTGTCCAGTTTTCCCAACACCATTTATTGAATAAACTATCTTTAGTCCATTGTATGTACTTGCTTCCTCTTTCCAATATGAGTTGACTGTAATGGCATGGGTTTATTTCTGGACCCTCTATTCCATTCCATCGGTGTATGTGTCTGTTTTTATGCCAGTACCATGTTGTTTGGATTACTATGGCCTTATAGTATCGTTTCATGCTAGGTAGTGTGACTCCTCCAACTTCGTTCTTTTTCAGGATCACTGTTGCAGTGTGGGGCTTTTTGTGGTTCCATATAAATTTTTAAATATTTGTTACAGTTCTGTGAAACATGTCATTGGAATCTTTTTTTTTCTTTTACATTTTCTACCTATCATTTATGCTACTTATTCTCTGTACCTTTTCCCCCTCTCTCCCCCTCCTACTCCCCTCCTGATAACCCTCCATGTGATCTCCATTTCTGTGATTCTGTTCCTGTTCTAGTTGTTTGCTTAATTTGTTTTATTTTAGGTGTGGTTGTCAATAACTGTGAGTTTGTTGTCATTTTACTGTTCGTATTTTTGATCTTCTTTTTCTTAGATAAGTCCCTTTAATATTTCATAGAATAAGGGCTAGGTGATGATGAACTCCTTTAACTTGACCTTATCTGGGAAGCATTTCATCTGCCCTTCCATTCTAGACGATAGCTTTGCTGAGGAGAGTAATCAGGGATGTAGGTCCTTGCCTTTCACGACTTTGAATACTTCTTTCCAGCCCTTTTTTGCCTGCAAGGTCTCTGTTGAGAAATCAGCTGATAGCCATATGGGCACTCCTTTATAGGGAATTGTCTCCTTTTCTCTTGCTGCTTTTAAGATTCTTGGGTTATCTTTAGTCTTTTTTTTTTTTTTTTTTTTGATTCTTGCCTGAGTCATTAATCAATTGGTGCACTTTATTTTTTTTTCCTTTTTTTTTTTTTAGTTTTTTTTTATTTTTTATTTTTATTTTTTTTAAATTTTAATTTTATTTAGTTATTTTTCAAGTACAGTTTTTTGTCTATTTTTCCCATTAGTCTTGAGTAATGTGTTTATGATGTTCCTTGGTGTGTTCCTCGTTGGGTGGAACTTCTTTGGGACTCTTTGAGCTTCCTGGACATCCTGGAAGTCTATTTCCTTTGCCAGATTGGGGGAGTTCTTCTTTATTATTTGTTCAAATAAATTTTCCGCTTGTTGCTTTTCCTCTTCTTTTTCTGATACCCCTATGATTCAGATGTTGGAACATTTAAAAATGTCCTGGAGGTTCCTAAGCCTCTCCTCATTTTTATGAATTCTTGCTTCTTCATTCTGTTCTGGTTGAATGTTTCTTACTTCCTTCTGGTCCACAACATCGATTTGAGTCCCATTTCCTTCCCGTCCCTGTTGGTTCCCAGTACATTTCCCTTATTTCACTTGCATAGCCTTCCTTTTTCCATCTAATTTGTGACCATATTCCACCAGTTCTGTGAGCATCCTGATTACCAGTGTTTTGAACTGTGTACCTGATAGGTTGGCTGTCTCTTCACTGCTTAGTTGTATTTTCTTCTGGAGCTTTGATGTGTTCTTTCCTTTGGGCCTTGTTTTTTGTTTCTTTGTTTGTTTGTTTGTTTGTTTGTGTCTTGTTGTGCCTGTTACTGTAGTAAGGAGCAGAGCATTAAGTATTTGCCAGGGCAGGGTAAGCCAGATCGCTGCCTTGTGGTGCTGCATGTGGGGGAGGGGTCTGAGAGGGAATAATGGCGCTTGCTCTGCTCTCTGCGGGATTTCAGCCACTCCCCCTCTACCCACAAGCAAATTGGCCCCTTCTGGTGCTGGTTCCCAGGTGGGCGGGTTTGTGTACATTCTAGGACCCTGTTGGTCTCTCCAATGAACCCTCCCATGAGGCTGGGAGTTTCTCCCACTGCTGCCTCAACCCCCACCGATCAGAGGTTTGAGGCTTTACTTCTCCACCCTGGAACCCTGGGTTGTTTCGGTCTGCATCGCTCCCTAGTTGTTCCTCCCAGCACGGGAATGTGGGACCACCCCAGACCTCCAGCCACCACCTTGCTGCAAGTCCTCTCCACCCAGCTGCTGGTCTCTGCCCCTCCTACTGGTCTGGGTGAATGTTTCTCCTTTAACTCCTTGGTTGTCGGACTTCCACACAGTTTGATTTTCTGGCAGTTCTAGTTATGTTTTGTTTTTAAATTTGTCGTTGTCCTTCTTTTGCTTGTGTGAAGAGGCAAAGTGTATCTATCTATGCCTCCTTCTTGGCCAGAACCCTTTATCCATTTTTGATTGAATTGTGGTTTCTTTGGTATTGAGTTGTGTAAGTTCTTTATAAATTTGGATGTTAACCCGTTATCACATGTATCATTGGCAAATATGTTCTCCCACTTGGTGGGTTTTCTTTTTATTTTGTGGATGGTTTCCTTTGCTGTGCAAAAACTTTTTAGTTTGCTGTAGTCCCATTTGTTTTTATTTTTCATTGGTTTCTCTTGCCTGTTTTTCACTTCTATAACTCATTCTATTTTGTTCTTTTACAGCCCTGCTTGGTTATTCTTGATAGTTTCTGGATGGCTACTGACACTTTTTTTCAAAAGATTTTATTTATTTATTTTTAGAGAGAAGGGAAAGGAGAGACAGAGGGAGCGAAGCATCAATGTGTGTTTACCTCTTTTTTTTTTTACACTTTAAAATCTTTTATTTTATTGATTATGCCATTATAGTTGTTCTATTCCCCCCCTTCATTCCCCTCCACCCAGCACCCCCCCACCCTCACCATTCCCCCCTTTAGTTTATGACTATGTGTCTCAAGTTCTTCAGATTCTATATTTCCCATACTATTCTTGCGCCCCCTATCTATTTTCTACCTACTGTCTATGCTACTTATTTTCTGTACCTTCTCCCCCCTTCTCCTCCTCCCGCTCCCCTGTTGCTAACCCTCCATGAGATCTTCATTTCTATGTTTCCACTGCTGATCTAGCTGTCCTTTTAGTTTGCTTTTGTTGTTTTAGTTTGTGGTTGTCAATAACTGTGAATTTGCTCTTCTTTCACTGTTCATCTTTTTTATCTTCTTTTTCTTAGGTAAGTCCCTTTAACATTTCATATAATAAGGGTTTGGTGATGATGAACTCCTTGAATTTGATCTTATCTGGGAAGCACTTTATCTGTCCTTCCATTCTAAATGAAAGTTTTGCTGGATAGAGCAATCTTGGTTGTAGGTTTTTGGATTTCATGACTTGGAATACTTCTTTCCAGCCCCTTCTTGCTTGCAAGCTCTCTTTTGAGAAATCCACTGACAGTCTGATGGGAAGTCCTTTGTAGGTGACTGTCCCCTTATCTCTTGCTGCTTCTAGGATTCTCTCCTTCATTTTAATCTTGGCTAATGTAATGATGATGTGCCTTGGTGTATTCCTTCTTGGGTCCAACTTCTTTGAGACACTCTGAGCTTCCTGGACTTTCTGGAAGTCTATTTCCTTTGCCAGATTGGGGACGTTCTCCTTTATCATTTGTTCAAATAAGTTTTCCACTGGTGGCTGTTCCTTTCCCCCTTCTGGTACCCCTATAATTCGGATGTTGGAGCGTTTAAAGATGTCCTGGAGGTTCCTAAGTCTCTCCTCATTTTTTTGAATTCTTGTTTCTTCATATTTTCCTGTTTGGCCATTTTTTCCTTCCTTCTGGTCCACTCCCTTGATTTGAGTCCCAGTTTCCTTTTCATCACTGTAGGCTTCCTGTGCAATTCCCTTCATTTCAATTAGTTTTGCCTTCATATGTTCCTCTAATTTGTGACTAAAATCAACCAGTTCTGTGAGGATCCTGATCACCAGTGTTTTGAACTGTGCATCTGAAAGTTTGGCTATTTCTTTGTTGCTTAGAGTTATGGGCTCTGGGGCTTTGAGATCTTCTTGAGCCATTTTTTGGTCTGTTCGATCCGGATAAGTATGAGGAGCAGAGCCTTAGGTGTGCACCAGGTAGGGGCCGCCCAGGTCACTGGGTTGTGAAGCTGTATGTGGGGGCGGGGTCAGAGCAGGGAAATGACGGCCCCCTCTGCTGCCTCTCAGTCCTGTCTCACCGCCCACTCCCTCGCCAGTCTATCTGCGCACGAATGTGCGACCACAATCAACCCTGGGCCCTCGCTGGGTCCACCAGTCTCTCATTGGGTCGCTCACTGGGCCCGCCTGTTGCAACCCCATGCCTGGGATCCATGCGCCTGAGTCCGTCTGACCTAGTTTTCCTGTGCAACTGCTGGCTTCGCCCCTCTTACCCGGTCAGGCTGAAGAATTTGTTGTTATCAGACTTCCGAAAAGTTCAGTTGTCTGTGTTCTGGCTGTGTTCTCTGTTGCTAATATTTTGTTGTCTCTAAACTTGGTTGTGTGAAAAAGCACGGCGTGTCCACCTATGCCTCCATCTTGGTGGAAGTCTGTGTGTGTTTACCTCTTGTACGCTCCATCTGAGGACATGGCCTGCACACTAGGCGTTTGCCCTAACTGGGAATAGAACTGGTGGTCCTTTGCTTCACAGCCCGGCGCTCAATCCACACCAGCCAGGGCTGGCTGCTGATGCTTTGAATGTTGTCAGTGTTTTTGTATTTCTTTAAGCACATAAGCGTGGTTATTTTACATTCTGTCCGATAATTCCAATATTTGAAGCTAGCCTCTATTGTTTGTGCTGCTTCCTGTTCATGGTACCTCATTTCTTTTTGTGTTTTGTGAGCTTCCATTTTCTTTGGAAATTTATTTGTGGGGATGTTTTACGGCCTGTGTTGACGATAAGTCATGGATGATATATGGTAGCATTTTTGTCCCTTTTTGTTTATTTTTAATATAGAAAGCATTAAACTATGCTTCTTCATCTGCAACTTACCTTTTTCCCACCGTAATGCGACAGTATGTCATAGTGCTGTCACTGAAGTGGTTGTAATGAATTGCCCTTTGCCTTGACCTCTGGGAAATGTAGGTGTATCCTGAGCTTGAAGATCAGAGAGCTTGTCTACCATCGGGATCTTTTCTGACTTGTTCTTCAGACAACACCATTCGCTTCTGGAACATGGATAGCAACCCTGACTCTCCCTGGCAGAAAAACATCTTCAGTAAAGTGAGTGCCTTCACCGTGAACCATCTTTTAGGAAAAACAAAGACCTACTTAAAGCTAGAATCTTGAGGCAGGAGGGAGTCTTACAGAATCTTGCTGTCAGGCTTCACTAGGGGGCAAGAACCAGGAACCAGGAACCAGTGCAAGTTACTCTCTGCTACCCTCTCTCTTGTTTCTCCCTGTCTCCCTCTGTTTCCGCGTAGTGCAGGTCTCTCTACTAGTCAGCAGCTGCTGTCCAGGTGTGTCTACACAGCCACTCTAGGCAACCTGGCATACTCAACAGAAGAGAAGTTTCTGCCCAAGTCTTGAGCTGAAGCCCCTTGACAGAGCTCTTTGGTTCATCAACCAAATCATACGAGGGGCTTCCCCTGTGTGGCTAGCTGCTGTGGGTGGGGGTGCTGACAGGACCCCAAAGACAGCCATAACGTGAGGCTGGGGAGGCACTATGCTGAAGAAATGGTCGGTATGGCTAAATCAGTAAAGGAGCTTCTCTGAGGAGCTGAAACCTGAATCATGCACTTATGATTCTGCAGATACTTATTAAGGTCTGTACTAGGTGGGTACATGCTGGGCACCAGTCAGTGACTAAGACAGACCCTTCTCCTGTACTTGTGGCACCCACAGTCTAGTGCAGGGAGGCAGAGAGTGAACTAACAACTGCACAAGTTGTGATATAATCACAAGCGTGGTAAGCGGCATGAAAGAAAACTGCAAATTGCTAGTAGGATATACAGGGCCCAGCACACATAACATCCCTTTTTTATTACAAAATCATAAGCATGTAATTCTGTAACATAACACCATCACACTCAAACCCCCCCATGTGTTTGAGTAGGTGAAATGTTTGAATTAAAACTAAACGTTATCACACCCATGTTATTACCCCACTAACCACACTCAAGCAGGCTTTGCTTCTGCGGGGCCCTGTATCACAGAGTCATCTGATCTTATTTGTGGCATCAGGGGGCAGCTTCCTGGAGGAAGAGACAACTAAGCTGAGAGATATGGAGCATTGGGAGGAGGAAAGAGGAGAGGGGAGAGTGCCCAGCGCCAAAGGAACAACTTGTGCAAAGGCCATGAGGTGGGAAAGAGCTTAGTGAGTTGGAAAACCTGAGAAGTCAGTGGGGCTGGAACAAAAAAAGGCCCTTAATGCAGGGAGTATGTAGCAGGTACTCCTTTACTATTCCCTTTGCACTGCCTGCCCTCCCTCCCCCACCGCCAATACTGCCATCTTTTCTTCCGTACCTGTGGTATATGTGTTATATTTGGCTGCATAGAAAAGAAAACCTGAAACCAACAGGTAAAAGTTTGGCTTTATGACTCATAAAAATCACCCAGATGTAACCTGTTCAGACTGTTAGGGCAGCTGCAGGAAGGCTCCAAGAGCCTTCTAACTCTCCACTCTGCCGTTTTGAAGGATGGCCCCTATGTCCACCATCCAAAATGGCTGTCAGAGTTCCAGTTATCACATCAGTGAGTCTCAGACTGCAGGAAGGAAGCAGAAGGGTTCCCACTTGCTTTACATTTCACCGACCAGACTTCATTCACGGATCCTCATCTAGCTGCAAGGGGGGCCTGGGAAACATAGTTATTATTCTTAGTGGTGAACCTCCCAAGTCAGAACTGGAGTTCTGTTACTAACGAAGAATGGGAGACTGGCTCCCATTCTTGGGATATAAAATTACAGAGGTGTTTCAGACCTTCTCATTGTGCTGACTTCAGCCCTTTCCTTCCTGCAGACGCTACTGAAGGTAGTGTATGTAGAGAATGACATTCAGCATCTGCAGGATATGTCACACTTCCCAGACCGGGGAAGTGAGAGTGGGACACCTGTGGACGTGAAAGCTGGAGTACGAGTCATGCAAGTCAGTCCTGATGGCCAACACTTGGCTTCAGGTGACCGAAGTGGAAATCTGAGGCAAGTGAGCTCTGGTGGGTGTCTAGTGTCCACCTCCCAGCTTGGGCTCGGGTACTCAGGCTGCTGGGGAGGAACCCTGGCCTTTGCACCTGCGGCTACTCATTGGGAATGAGGGGCTGTGAGTAGCAATCCTGTAACCAGCCACCCCTGGGAACTTAAGCGCAGAGTCTTCCCGGTGAGGGTGGATAGTGGGACCTCAACAGCTGAGGTGTGCGAACTTTGCCTTGAGAGTAGGCCAGCGAATTTGCATGACCCTAGGACAGGGTAACACTTTACCAGCTGTGTGGTACCCCTGCCAACCCATCAGAGAAGATGCCAGCTGGAGCTTGTGGGGTCCTGGTAGGCCTGGGAGAGGAGCCAGGAGGATGGGACATTTGAGGGCAGAGGTTTTTCACGATGTTACAGTAGATGCCGACAGCATATGAGCCCTGTCACAGGGACCGGGTTTACGTGGGTGAATGACAGCTGTGACCACCTGGTGCTGGGGCTGTTGAGGGATGGAAAGGACCAGGGGGAAATGGAGAGCATGCCCTCAAAGTTATCGTGTGTCCTCATTGTCCAAGAAGAGCAGGAAGTACAGGGGTTATTTTTCCTGTGAAAATTCTAAGGTTTTTAAAATGCTGACAACTGTTTTGACATCAATCACTGCACAAGACAAACCAAATGTGTCAGTGGGCTGCTCACATTGATAGCACTCCGCCATGAATGGTGAAAGCAGTAACAAGGGCTACATGGGCATAGCACTCTTTCCCCGGGCTGGGCACTGGCCTGATACTATGTGTGTGTCTCAGTCACTGTAGTCCTCTCACTGACCACCCCCCCATGTAAGTGCTGTTATCAGCTCCATTTTCATGTGGGTTAATTGAGGTAAGAGGAGCTAAGTAACTAGGCACAGGCAGAGTAGAGAAACTGGGATGGTTGTCTCTTGTTCCAACCCTGGATGAACAACTCTTGATGTTCGCTTTCACTTGGAGAGAAAGAGAAAAGTCTTAGATTTGAGACTAAGAATGACAGATTGGAATTAGATGTTCCCACCCTTAGGTCCTATTCTTGCATATACCTTCTGACCTCTAACCCCTGACCCCTGCTCCACTCCCCTTCCCCAGGGTTCACTTGTGAAACAGCTTTGCCCTAAGCCTTGTTTTCCCCAGAGGACTGTCCTAGATCTGGCCCATGGAGCCACAGGAGCTGAGTGCTCACTGAGGTACTCCCAGCTTTGGCACTGCTTTCTTTAAGATGGCAGGTTTCTAGATGATAACAGTGGTTTGGTATCACTAAACTACTTCCTGACATCACCTACCTGGCTGTGGCAGAGTGCCTGGGGTGGGAGCGGGAGTGGGAGCAGGGCTGGGAGGGCCCTGCGAGAAGGGTACAGCGGACAGTGTGTTTCTCCCAGGATCCATGAGCTGCACTTCATGGACGAGCTGGTCAAGATGGAGGCCCACGATGCTGAGGTGCTATGCCTGGAGTACTCCAAGCCTGAGACTGGTGAGCCCCTGGCAGGGCGACAGGGGCGGGGGCAGAGGAATGGGCCCCCCTGACAGAGCCATAGACGGGGGTAGTTGGTATCTGCCAGAGCCGTGAGTGACAGCTAGAAGTCCTGTGTTTAGTAAGGGCCCCTGTCTCTGGACCCGGGGACCGAGGTGACTAGGACTCCAGAAAGCAAAACACTGGCAGGCAGGACGGCACTGGACTGACTTACCCTGGTGCCCAGTGCCCCGAGCAGAGCACAGGCTAAAGAGGTGGGTGTCGAATGAGCAAGTGTATAAATGAGTTCATCCTCTGCTAGGGAAGGTAGATTGACAGTGAAACTTGCTTAATGCCTACAGAAAAATTACGAGAATATTATAGTGAATACCCACGTGCTCTTTACCCAGAGCCCCCAAGTTTTTTTTCTTTTAAAACCTATCTGACCCTGTGACTGTGTAATGAGTTCATCTGCTTCTTCTCTCTTCATCTCTGTGTTTCTGTGTGTACATACACGCACATAACACGGTCACAGCACATACATTCTCTTCTTTTCATTTGCTGAACTATTTGAGTGTAAATTGCAGGCATGACGCCCATTCACCCTTAAGTGCTTTTGTCGGCATTTCCTCAGAGTGGGGACAACTGTTTACATAACCACAGGGCTTATCAAATGTGGGAATTTTACTTTGATGCTATGCCATCCTCTGTCTTATGGTCCTTACGTTTTGCCAGTTGTCCCAATATTGTCCTTTTAGCGCCTTTGTTTTTCTAATCCAGGTTCCCACCTTCGTTGTCCTGGCTCTTTTGTCACTTTTATTCTGGAACGTTTCTATACACTTAATTTGTCTTTATGACTTTGGCTTTCTGCAGAGTGTAGACCAGTCATTTTATAGAATTTCCTTCCATTTTGGTGTGTCTGTTTGTTTTCCTCATAATCTGATTTCAACGATACAGTCTTGGTAGGAACATAACAGAGGGAGAGCTGTGTCCTCATATGTTAATGATCTTTCCCACGCTCTTCTTTCCTTCTTCCTTCCTCTGCACCTCCTGTCCCACCAAACTTTCTTTAAATTTCTCTTCATTCAGTATACCTTTCCTGAGCTCTCTTCCACCTCAGGTCATATGTTAGGTCTCAGAAGTACCAGGTGACCAGTGCAGGCACTGTCCGAGGGGGCCATCAGGGAAGGCCTAGGGGTAGAAGGAAGTGTGGCAGTGGGTAGGTAGTCAGTAGGGCCCAGACAAGGCCCCTGCAGCCAGAGCTCAGGGAGTAAAGGGGCAGTGTTTTCAGGAGGTGGAGAAGTTGTCAGGACTTCACATGGCATGCTAAGGAATTGGACTTGGTAGGAAGGAGTGCTGGGCTCTGCTAGGATGTCTGCTGTGGGCACAAGTGAAGGAACATCCAGGTGTACCCGAGATTAATGCTCCCTGAACTGGTGGCACGGGATGTGAAATGCCAGGGTTTGGGGGCTCTGGAGAAAGATTACACAGAGCTGAGGGAGTGCCCCCCTTCTGGGTTTGGGGCAAGCTAGTGGAAATTGTGGAACCAAAGACCCCTTCTTCAAGACTTGGAAAGCTTGGCTGTGCTGTTCTCCAGGAGGCCAATGCATCAAGTAGCCTCCGGGGAACCCAGGACCACTCTTTCTACTCACAGGGTTGACCTTGCTGGCCTCAGCCAGTAGGGATCGACTGATCCATGTGCTGAACGTGGAGAAGAGCTACAGCCTGGAGCAGACCCTGGATGACCATTCCTCCTCCATCACGGCCATCAAGTTTGCAGGTGAGCCCCTTCCTTCCCACTTCCAGTGCCTCCTTAGATGTGTTCCTTTGGCAACAGTAAAAACTCTCTTTAGCTTAAACAAAAAAAAAAAAAAGAAGAAGAAGAAGAGGAAGAAAAAGGGAGAAGCAAGCTCTGGATTTGGGCACAGCTGCATCCAAAGGTTCAATTTTTTAAATGATCAGGACTCTCTCCTCTGTTAGATGTGCCTTTCTCTGCAGGACAGGATCGTGGTTGTCACTGGACCACTGCAAAGAGATTTTCCCTTTTCCTATTCATTTTGGCCAAGACTGGGAGCTGACTTTCCTTTTGCTGGTTTGAGGCACCTGCTCTTTCCAGAAGAGTTAGCAATGCCAGGGCTTTGGGGCGTTCTCTCTGGCCAGGTTCTGGTGCCCAGCCACTGCCTACCTCCACTGCTGATCTAGGAGGACTGGCATTAGATGAGTGCTGGTCCCCCAAGAGAAATCAAGGTGCCAATCTTGTGAGAGGGCAGGATGGGTACTGGTGGTTTGGCAGTGACCATTGCTGGAGGCCAGTTCTTTGCTGGGGTATTATCCTTGTACCATCCCAGCAGATATCCCCTTCCTTACCCCATGTTACAGCCAGTCACACAGCTAGTAGGTACAGGCCTAGGATCTTACCTAAGGCTGTTCTCCAAAGTCTGCACTCCACCAGGTCATCAAAGGGATTCCTCCAAGACTGAAAAGATTCCGTATGTAGATCCCTGGCCCCAAGGGTTCCCAAGGGGAGGCGAGGAAGGCCCTGCGGGGTGCAACTGATCAGAACCCAAGAACATGTTCAAAACTATGTTTAAGAGGATTATATTCATGGGAAGGATAATACATTCATGCACGGTAAGTTCTTGACTGTGAAGTGTTTTTCACGTATAATTTTGTGACTGAGAATGTATTAATGTCTCTTGGACCTCCCCACTCCCTGCCCTGCCTCTCTCTGGCTAAGGTGATAGGGAGCTGGGAAAAAAATAAGTTCATAGTGCTTGATGTGTCTTGATGAGTCTTGATGAAGGCCTAACAAAAACTGATCAGCTAAAACTTCTCAGACATCCTTAAAGACCTGTTTGGCCCTGGCCTGTGTGGCTCGGTGGGTTGGAGCGTCATCCCATGACTGATGGGTTGCAGGTTTGATTCCCGGTTGAGGCACATAGCTAGGCTGTGGGTTCCATCCCTGGTCGGGGCACATACCTAGGGTGTGAGTTCAGTCCCTGATCCAGGCATGTGCAATCTCCCATTTGGGCTCTCTCACATTAATGTTTCTCTCTCTCCCTTCCTAAGCAATGAAAAAGTGTCCTTGAGTGAGGATAAATAATAATAATTTTTTTAAAAGATGTTCATTCCATTGGCTAGAGGAAGTTAGAGCAAATCTGGCAGTTTGGCCCCAGTGACCTCACCTTTAACGAATGGTCTAGATCCAAGAGAGGTGGTGACTGGTTCAGGGGATGGCCCGGAAGTTGGTCCTTTGGGGCACCTTCTGAAGGGTGTACGCCTTCGTTAGAGCCCCAGCCAGCCTGAGAGGATGCAGCTCCTAAACCCGGCTCCTGATTGCTTTGCTCTGCTGGGCTGGCTCACTCGGGAGTTGTGCTCGAACCGGTGACAGTCAGCATAAACCGGGCACCCGTCGGTCCAAACCTGTCTGAAGCTGCCCTGCTAGATAAGGATGTGGGCTTTTAACTCTTTTCTGTGCAGCATATCCAAAAAGCGAATACAGAACGTAGGTTGCCGAGTACAGTCGTGCACCACGTGACGTTTCAAACGGTCACTGACAGGCTGCCTGTACTAAGGCGGTCCCGTGACATTATAGTGCAGCTGAAAATCTCCTATCACCACGTGACATCGTAGCTGACGTAGTGTCACAGTGCAGCACAGGTCGTGGCACTCGTGTATTTGTGGCAATGCTGACGCAAGCAGACCCGTGCTGCCTGTCATACAAAAGTACAGCACATGTGATTGCATACAGTACGTAATACTTGATGATAGTAATAACCAAATATGTTACTGGTTCGTGTATTTGCTGTGCCTCTAATCATCATTTTAGCATGTACTCTTTCTACCTATAAAACAAAGTTTGCCATAGAACAGTATGGTGTGTTACACTGGCAGCAACCTCATCATCTCGTATTTACTGAGTCTCTTGACCTGAGTCGTTTTCTCTAGCGCTTGATTTCATCTTGTGTTGTTTCGTGCAGTGACATGCCGTACAGGCTTGTAGCCTGGGAGCAATGGGCTATTCCATGTAACCTAGGTATGTAGCACACTCTCCCATCCAGGTGTGCGTAAGTGCGCTCTGTGACATTATCACAACACCAAAATCACCTCATGACACATTTCTCAGAACGCATCCCCATTGGTAAGTGGTGCCCGACTGCAATACAGTGAACACCACATCAAGGTTTATGGTCAGTAGGTATGAACTAGAACACACACACCCATATTTGTTTGTAGCCAGCAACTGTTAGGATTGTTTGTGGTCCTAACGTCACTAAATGCTTGGATGTACCAGGTTAAGAAGCAAAGCATTACCAGTAACTTCCCGGCCCTCTCTGGGTCTCTCCCTCTCCCTCACAGAGCTCACTCCCCTCTGTGAGCCAGTGACTCCTGCTCGAGCAGCACCCTAACTTGCATGTCAGGCCTGGGCTCTCTCAAACATGAAGGAGCGGCATCAGTTGTACTAAGCTTCTAAATATTTATTTTGTCTTTTTGTTTTCACTACAACTCTGTGAGGTATTTGTACTGTTATTCTTACTCTATAAAGAAAGACGAAGAAGAAGAAAAGTGCTTACCAGGTGGCAGCCACTGTTTAAGGGTTTCACACAATTTCTTGGGGCAGGGGCTGCAATAGGCCCATTATACAGGCAGGAAGCTGAGGTTCAGAGAAGAAGCTGGTTTCAGAACACAGTGTTTAACCAGAGAATGCCTGGCTTCAGTCCTGGCCCTGTCCTGGCTCTCTGTGCACCCTGTGTGACTCAGCTCCTGGCTCACATTTCTACGATGAAGTGGCTAGTGAGCAGTCAGGAAGAGGAAGGCACAGGCAGCGCAGGGCCTGGCCTGAGGTATGTGTGGGCGTTCTGATCCTGATTTCATGAGCCTCCCAGTGTCTGGCTGTCTTTGACATGCAGCCCCTTCTGTGTCCTTGGCCTTTGTTTTCCTATCTGCCCTTGCTCTGCAGGGGCCTTCCTTGCAAGTGCTCCATCTGTACCTCCTCACACACACAGCTCACATCTTACAGACTCCTACGTGCACCCAGCATCCACCTCACCTCTGGGAAGCCCTCCCTGAACCCCAGCTGAGTTCCCTTGCAGTGGTGGCCTAGCCCTACGTAATACACTGCTGCCTCCTCTTCCAGGCAACAGAGACATCCAGATGATCAGCTGTGGGGTTGACAAGAGCATCTACTTTCGTAGTGCCCAGCAGGTAGTGTGGGCTGGCCTTCTTGGGGGGCTGGGGTAGGGGGGTGCTTGTCACAGCTGTCCTTTGAAGGTCCCGCCTACCCTGCCAGGGCTCGGATGGGCTCCACTTTGTCCGTACCCACCATGTGGCAGAGAAGACCACCTTGTATGACATGGACATTGACATTACCCAGAAGTACGTGGCTGTGGCCTGCCAGGACCGCAATGTGAGGTGAGGAGCTGCCCTGGGCCCTTCGTCAGCCTGGCCTGGGCTGCTCCATGAGTGGGGCCTGTATAGGACCTAGCTGAGTCTGTTTTCTCATGCGCTGTCTGCTCTCTTTCCCCCTGCTCATCTGGTCCCTGAGAGGCCGAGTGACTGGAGGGACCCAGCAGGTGTTTCTTAGGAGCTGGTTTCACCTGGGCATAGCCTCCAGATCAGCAGAGGGTTCCTTCTGTCTCTCCAGAAGCCTCTGCGGGGTGACTGAGAAATGCTGAGGTGGCTCATAAACTTAGTCATTCACCTGTACTACCCAAGCACCTGTCTGGGATGGACAATGCAGGAGTAACAGCAGTGAGCAGGGCAGCCCCAGGCCCTGCCTTCACAGAGCCCATAGTCCAGTGGAGGAGAGATGGACACTTCACCAGAGAGTGACGGCTTGGAGTGGTCAGGGCTGGGATGGGGATAGACCGAGGGGTTGGGGGCCCTGGGCGATACCTGCCCCCACCTCTGCTTAATGGAAGGAATGTCTGAGCTGAGACTCTGAAAAAGGAGTAGTGAGCCAATGGCAGGGGGGAGTATGTAAAGGACACAGCATGTGCAAAGAGGTTCTCTACCTCCTTCAACTGCTCATTCAGATTGGGTGCCAGGCACTCGGCTCACTCTGTGGCAGGGGAGATGGACATTATTAATTCAACAGACACCCTAATGCGTAATTTCCGTGACCCGAGCCTGAGGTGGTGTCTCATTCTCTGAGATTAGGGTTTCCATCCAGGCATCAAACGGGGGATAAGAGGTGGCAGTGGCCTTCCAGGGGCGAGGACGGGGGCGGGTGGGCAGATCCATGTTGGCCATGCTCTGTAACCACCTCCCCAGAGTCTACAACACCATGAATGGAAAGCAGAAGAAATGCTACAAGGGATCCCAAGGCGATGAAGGGTCCCTGCTGAAGGTGAGGACCCGGGGCCCCTGGGGTTAAAACTACACACGGACCCCACACACAAGGCTCCCCCTTTGTGTCTGCTGTCCCGATGAGCCACCTTAGACCTGTGTCCTCCTTGGCACCTGATTAATGGATCTCATGCTGGCCAGCCACCCACTCTGGCCTGGCTGACCAAGGCTGCTCGGGAGCTAGGGGTTGCCCAGACTGCTTCACCTTTATTCACTGAGTCCTTCTCTAGGTGGAGCCATTGTAAGTGGTTTCCATCTTGAGTGGCAACAGAGTATGGTGGGAAGACTCAAAGAGTCCTGGGCTCCCTTGCCAGGCTTGTCTCCTGCCTGTGTTATCCAGGCCAAAGCAGGGATCTTCTCAGAGCCTCTGGACTAATTAAGAGTTCAGGCTCCGGGGTCAGAATCCCCCCGCACAGCTCTGTCTCAGGCTGACTGTGACCCCGGGCAAGCGTCGCCTCTCCAGTCTGGTTCATCATCTGTAAAATGCAAGTACAAAGAGTTTCTGTCGTGGGGTTGTTGTGTGGAGGAAACAAGTTACACACATGCAGTGCTTAGCACAGGGCCTGGCTGCTGTCAGTACCATTGTTGTGTTTGCTAGTTTTCTTTACCTGTGCGGTGGGAGCGGGAGTTCCTACCCTACCAAGGGTGTATTTGTGAGGGCTGTCTGGGATGAGCCCACATAGCAAGTGTCCAGCTCAAGGGTGGTCCTCAGTCAGTGGGGACGTTGACCTGGGCCTCACCACATAGAGGAAGCAGGCAGCATAAAGCATCCCTTGCATTCTCTCCTTGGCAGGTCCACGTGGACCCCTCAGGCACCTTCCTAGCCACAAGCTGCTCCGACAAAAGCATCTCGGTGATTGATTTTTATTCGGGCGAGTGCGTTGCCAAGATGTTTGGCCATTCTGGTGGGTGTGCCTCCCTGCCTGGGACATCTCACTCACCCCCGCACAGCCTTCTAACTCAGAAAGTCAGCGCAGCTTCTCTGTTCTGTTTCTAGACATCGTCACCGGCATTAAGTTCACCTATGACTGTCGTCACTTGATCACAGTATCTGGAGACAGGTGGGAAAGGCCTAGAGGCTGCCCCTGGCTGGCCTCCCTCTGGGAATGCGTTTCACCTACACTGTAGGGAGAGCAGGGGCTTAGACCCTGGCAACACCAGGCTTACAACCTGCCTGCGCAGAGAGCTCTTCTGAGTGTTCCTGCTTTCTCTCTCCTTGGACAGCATGCACCTTGGCGCCACAGCCAGCCCTGAGTTCAAATCCCACATCTGCTACTTATTTACTTGTGACCTTGAGCCGGTCATTTCCCCTCCCTGAGCTTCAGTTTCTTTCTTTGTAAGAGACTTGATACAATTTACCTCGAAAATTGTATGGTGAGAATTAGATGAGATGATTATATATGTCATCCTGATATATTTCCTCATGTAAGTTATATGTGTAATAATTTATAATAGATATAATAAGTAAAGTCCTTAGCACGTGGGTGGTACTTGAGAAAGTCCCTTTTCTCACTCCCTTTAGTCTACTGTGAAGTTTCCTGCTTCCTCAAGACCCCTTTCCTCGGTCTGGAAGCCCTCAGAGCAGGCCCTAGTTAGCTGGGGTTCCCTGGAGCCCCCCCACCCCGGATTCAGACCTGACATGGTCGGGAGCCCCTGCACTAAGCTGATTGGTTGTGTTTTCTGGGAGGTGCCAAGGAGTGGAGGGTCTTGGCTGTGATGATGGAGGTGGCCTCAGAGCCAGGTGACTTTCGTAGTCAGTGTTTCTGACCCTTCCACATCTCTCTTTGGCCTCTACAGCTGTGTGTTCATCTGGCACCTGGGCCCAGAGATCACCAACTGCATGAAGCGGCACCTGCTGGAAATGGACCATCAGGAGCAGGGGCAGCAGAACACAAAGGACGGGAAGTGGAGCAGCCTCCCCAGGTCCTAGCAGCCACCTACACATCTCCTATCTCTCCTCCCCCAGAGGAATATTTTCCTCCTGTGGGCCTCAAGAGGCATGATGCTGGGGACAGAGCCATAGCCTTGCCTTTTGTACACCCTCAGGGAGGAGACGGACTTTGAGTACAAAGTTATAATAACACCTATGAGAAGGGTTTTGGAGAGCCTGTGAGTACTGTGATGCAGGAAGCCCCAGGAGGCTGTGGAGACCAGAGGCAGCCCTTGACCCAGGAGGGAGGTGGTCAGGGAAGGGTCCAGTGTCACTGAGATGCCTTCTTACTCTTTAAAGTTCTCACGCTGTAAGACCACTTTTATTTGGAGTGAATTTATGGTCTAGTTCTTTATTTGGGATTTTGGTTTGGAGGTCTTGAATTTAGTGGGAAATTGTAGGTTTTTCCTCTCTCCTGCCCCTGGAGCTGCCCCTGTCTCTCTGTCTTGAGGCTTTCTCATTGCCTTCCCATGGAGACCAGGCCTTGACATGTGCTGCCTATCCTGCAGTGGGCTTGGAGGCTTTGTAGATAGAGGCACCAAGGGAGAGAGCTGCTACCTTCTGGCTCTCAGTTTTGAGTCTCACGCCCTCCCCCGGGGCCAAGAGTGAGGTCCTGGCTCCAGTGCCCACCTTGTGTCAAGCATGTAGTCTCCTGTACTCCAAAGGAGCTAAAATCTCGTCGCTACCCCCTGCTTCCCCCTAACAGATCCCAGCAGCTCAGTACTCAAGCCCCACTATCTGTTTTGTTTTTCAAAGATCCCATTAATGTGGCCTTTGGAGTTTCTTATTTTTTGAGCCCAGCCTTTCTTATGTCTCATTTAGTATGGTGATATACTTCTAGCAGGGTGGGTGTGGCAGGTGAGACCCCCCCCCCCCAGCACCACAGGTTCATGTGGAACCTACATAGGGCCCTGGCCCTAGGCAGACCCCTCTAGGACCCCATTTACCTATTTCTCTCCTTGCCTTCCTCATTCCTGGCTTCAGGCAGGAGACATATACATCCAGCAAGATTTGTTCCCTAAGCCCTGGAGAGCAGACAGAGGATGAGCTGCAGGAAGAGCATGAACCTGAAGAGCTGCTGAAGACACCATCCAAAGAGAGCTTGGATCCAGGTTGGGAAACCGATCCATCCAAAGGAGCCCTCATTTGACCTCTGTCAGTGTAGGGGTCACGGCTGGGTTTCACCCACTACTTTGTTTTCAGTGCCTGGCACATACTGAAGCTCAGTAATCATATTGGTCAGGACTCTCTCAGTGTACTAGCAACCAGACTCTCATTGGTGTAGCTATAAAAAGAATTTATTGGTTCATGTACCTAAAAATGAGAGGAATGGCTTCAGGCATAGCTGGATCCAGGTAGTCATGTGATGTTAAAGGAGTGTATTTATTCTCTGTGTTTTGGCTCTACTTTTCTTCACATTGGCTTTGCTGTCAGAGTGGCTTCCTGTCCTGGGAGGGAGGGAGGGAGGCAGGGAGGGAGGGAGGGAGGGAGAGAGGATGCCCCAGGGAAAAACAGATCACATTAACAGAAGACAGAACAGATTTTGTTGTGCAGGCAAAAAGGGAGAGTAGTAGCTTAGTGACTTTATAAAAGGCCAGACTCTCTATAATTTCTACTCCTCTGCATGGCGCCTTGGTTGGCATAGGCCCTCATGATTGCAAGATGGCTGCCTACGTTCTAGGCATCAGAAGCATGCTTGAATAGAGCATTTCCTCTCCTTTGGAAAGGAACATTTCCCACCCCTGCTGGTGAGGCTCGGTGGTTTGAATGCCAGACTGCAAGCCGAAGGGTTGCTGGTTTGATTCCTGGTCAAGGCACATGCCTGGGTTGCAGGTTCCAACCCAGGCCAGGGCACGTACAGAAGGCAGCTGATCAGTGGTTCTCTCACATCGATGTTTCTCTCCTTCTTTCTCCCTCCCTTCCCCTCTCTCTAAAAAAAAATAAAATCTTTAGAAAGAGAGAGACAGAGAGAGAAATAAAGGAATATTTCCCCAGAAGCCCCTGAAAGGCTTCTCTCAGGTCCCACTGGTCATGATTGCTCCAGCTTTGAGAGAGCCTGGGAATAGTGATCAGCACTAGGTGCTTTCAGTGTGTGTGGGTGGGCTCCACCAACAGGGGTCAAAGACAGCTGATTGCTAGGCAACAGCAATGTGAGAGTTCAGCCTTGGAAAAAATTAGGATAAGTTAATGTTCTTTGTCTCCACCCTTACTCCTGGTCCAGTGTCTTCTCCAGGGTGACCACTCTTTAAAAAAATTTTTTTTAAATAGACTTTATTGATTTTGCTGTTACAGCTGCTCGAATTTTTCCCCCTTTGCCCCACTCCACCCTGTACCCCACTTCCCTCCAGCAGTCCCTTCCCTTAGTTCACATCCATGGGTTATGCATATAAGTTCTTTGGCTACTCCATTCCCTCTACTGTTCTTAACATCCCTCTGTTTATTTTGTACCTACCGAGTTGTACTTCTTCATCCCTGCACCTTCTCTCCCATTCTCCCACACTGCTGCCCTATGATTCTGTTCCTGTTCTGCTTGTTTGTTTAGTTTTTTTTAGATTTGGTTGTTGATACTCGTGCATTTGTTGCCATTTTAATGTTCATCGTTTAAATCTTTTTCTTATATAGTTCCCTTTAGTGTTTCGCATAAGAATGGCTTGGTGATGGTGAACACCTTTAGCTTGTCCTTATCTGGGGAGCACTTTATCTGCTGTCCCATTCTAAATGATAACTTTGCTGGATAGAGCAATCTAGGTTGTAGGTCCTTGCTTTTCATCACTTGGAATACTTCTCGCCAGTCCCTGCTAGCCTGTAAAGCATCTTTTGAGAAATCAGCTGACAGTCTTACAGGGACTGCTTTGTAGGTAACTGTCTGCTTTTTCTCTTGCTACTTTTAAGATTCTCTCTTTATCTTTAACCTTTGGCATTTGAATCGTGATGTGTCTTGGTGTGGCCCTCTTTGGGCCCAACTTGTTTGGGACTCTTCATGCTTCCTGGACTTGTATGTCTGTTTCCTTTACCAAATTAGGGAAGTTTTCTTTCAAATAAGTTTTCAATTTCTTGCTCTTCCTGTTCTCCTTCTGGCACCCCTATGATTCAGATGTTGGTACGTTTGCAGGTGTCCCAGAGGCTCCTTACTCTATTCTCGTTTTTTGTTGTTGTTTTTTTAATTCTTTTTTCTTCTGGCTGTTCTGATTGAATGTTTTTTTCTTCTTCATGTTCCAAACCGTCGATCTGAATCTCGGCTTCATCTTCTCCACTGTTGGTTCCCTGTAGATGTTTCTTTATTTCACTTAATGCAGCCTTCATTTCTACCTGGGTCTTTTTTATGCTATTGTAGTACCCAATGATGTCTTTGAGCACCTGATCACCAGTGTTTTGAATTGCGCATCTGATAGGCTGCTTACGTCCATTTCACTTAGTTCTTTTCCTTTTTAGGAGTTTTGTTCTGTTCTTTCCTTTGATCCACATTTCTCAGTCTCCTCAGTTTGGCAGCCTCCCTTTGTCTGTTTCTATGTATTAGGTAGAGCTGCTTTGACACCCTGTGTTAGTAGCATGGCCTATTGTAGAAAAGGCACCTGTCTGGATGAATTTGGCTCCTTTAAATGTTTGGTTGTTGGACTTCCATAGAGCTGGATTTTCTGATGAACCTGGGTGATGTCTGTTTTGTAATTTAGTCGTAATTTTTGCTGTAGTTGTGCGAGGAGGTGAAGTGCGTTTACCTGCACCTCCATCTTGGCCAGAAGTCTCTTCATCTGCCTGCTGCTGGCTGGGTGGAAGGATGACTGCTTTCACCAGTTTCCTGTGAATCTTTATAGGACTTTTCCTGAACATTATATACATGCGTATATATCCATAGGGAACACATATTTATGTCCATAAATGGTAGTATACTACACATATTGTTCTTTTTCCTCTCGATAGTATCTTATCCATCTGTACGTTGGTGGATACCAAGCAGAGGCCTCCCACTTTTGACCAGCGGCATAGTAGGGTATTTTAAGTTATTCCCTCTGGGTGGGCATTTAGGTTTTTTCCAACTTTACACTGTTGTGAAGGAGGCTAAGCGCCTGGGCCTCCTCTTTGGGCATGTGTGAGAGCTTTTCTCCCAGACAGAGGCCAAGGACCGGCACTGCTGGGCCCTGGGGTTAGTACACTTTTTCTTTTAAAAGAGAGCCCTGGGGGCCCTCCTTACTGCCCCCTCCCCAGCAGTCAGTGTTAAGCCCTTCTTTCCCCCATACTTTTGCTAGCGTTTGATAGTATGAAGCATTTTAATTTTGTCAGTTCTTAGGAGTAAAACATTACATCCCGTTGTGTAAACGTGCATTTCCCTGACCATTAGTGAGGCTGAGCATCTTTTGATACGTCTGTGGATTCCTAGAGTGCTTGGAGGATTGCCCATTTATGTCTGTTGCCTATTTGTCTGTGGGGTTGTTTGCTGTCTTTTTATGGATTCCATGTGTCTCTTCAGATCCTCCGTACCTGCTGACCAATGGCAAGCTGCCACTCTGGGCAAAGCGGCTGGTGAGTCTGGGATGCCTGGGGGGCTGGCATGGTAAGGGTGCCATCCTCCATGATCTCGTTTCTTCTAGGAGCACTTCCCCTCCTACATTTCTCTTTTCCCTGGAGAACCCTATCGTCCTCTAGTCTCAGCTTAGATGGCCCTTCATTCGTGCAATATGCATTTACTGAACACCTACCCTCTGCTAGGCATTGTTCTGGCCATGAGACACAGCAATAAACAAGGCAGACAAACTTTCTTCCTTCACAAGCTCATTTTCTTGTGTGGGAGATGGACAATATCCACAGTACCCTTAGTGCTATGGAGGGAAAAAATATTGAGAAGGAAAATAAGGAGTATTGGGGCAGGGGGTGACAATTTTAGGGTAAACAGAAAAGGCTTCCCTGGGAAGATGATATTTGAGCAGAGTTGAAGTGAGAAATGCAAATCGTGGGAAATAATTTTGCAGGCAGAGAGACCAGTTTGCTAGGGCAATGGCCATGAGGCAGGATTCTGCTTGGCATGTTTGAGAAAGTTCAGGGGCACTAAGGTGCCTGGGCTGAGGGTAGATAAGGGGTAGAATGAAAGAAGGGCTCAGCAGGGCAGTGGGGGCCAGATGGTGCGGGGCCACACGGGTCGTGGTGTGCTCCCTCGATACTCCTTGTTGTCCTTCTCCACTTCTTTTTTTTCTCCCACTGCACTGAGTGAGATGGAGACAAGGGAGGGCTCAGAGCCGAGGATGGCCATGATCTAACTCATGTGTTCACAGGTCCTTGTGGCTGCTTGTTGGAAACAGTTTCTGAGAGGGAAGCAGGGGTCCTAGGGAATAGACTGCTGAGATGATCCTAGCAGGAGAGATTGGAGGCTGGACCGGGAGGAAGAAAAAGATGGTTGGATTCTAGAGGGATTTTGAAAGTGGAGCCAAATGATTAGATTATGAGATGAAGAGAGAGATCCAGATGATGTTAATATTGAACTAATGATCGTTTTCTTGGAAGAGAGGCAGACTAGGAGCTAGTAGGTGAGAAGCAGAATTCTAAACCCTAGGTTGGAGCAATGTCAAAGCCTACAGGGAAATACTCCACTGCCAGCCCCTTCCCTGCAGGCCAGGTCAGGGTATGTGGACATGCTCTCTCAGTCCCCCAAGCTTCCCCTCATCAGTGCACATTACAATCGGAATTACATTCAAGAAATAGTCACTGTACACTTACTCTGTGTGGACTTTATTCTAAGTCTTTTATATTTATGATCTCATTTAATTCTCATTGAGGTAGGGGCTGTTCCTGTCCCTACTTCACAGATAGAGAAACCAAGGCCCAGAGAGGTTAAGCAACTTGTCTAGGGTGACACAGCTAGGAATTATATAGGGCGTGGGATTGACTGTAGGCAGGCTGGCTCCAGAGCCTGAGTTCTCAAAACACCCAGCCTTCACCGTCTCTCAAGCAACAGTCTTGGTAATGGGCAGTGGTGGGTTGGACCAGGATGGGAGGAGAAGTGGCTGTACCCCGCATGTGTTTGAATGGCAGAGCTGACAGAATTTGCTGAAGAAATACAATGTGGAATATGAGGGACAGAGTAAGAGAGAGGAGTGAAAGATGACCTCAAGGTTTGGGGCCTGATCAACTAGAAAGAGTAGCTGAGCTAGGGAAGGCTCTAGGAAAAGCAGGTCTGGGGTGTTGGAAATCACTTTTAAACATATTCGCTTTGAAATATCCACCAAACATCCATGTGGAGCTGTAGAGCAGTTGCACGTGTACGTCTGAAGTTTAAGAGCAAAGTTCAGGCTGGAGATAGATGTGTGGAAGTTATTTCTGAGTAGTGTTTAAAGCCAAGAGCCTGGGTGAGGTTTGTGCAGTGTCCCTGGCTCTCATTGGGTTGGTGATCACTTGGCTTGCTGCCTGACCTTCCTGTCACCCTCAGCTGGGAGATGACGATGCGGTGGATGGCTCAGTGTTCCGCACCAAGGACAGCTACCAGCCACATGGTCGCTGGGCAGAGCGAGCTGACCAGGAGCCCCTCAAGACCATCCTGAATGTCCATGACTTGGATTGCTTCTTTACCCCCATGAAGTTCGACAGCCTGGGGGACTCCGTTCTGGATACAGTGGAGCCACAGAGCCTGGCAGGTCTGCTGAGTGAGGTAAGGACTTCCTGCTCGAGCCCAGCCTAGAGCCCCTATATTACTGTGTGCTCAGGACTTGGGGCCTCAGCACTCTCACTTTGAAAATATGGCTGACTGTCCCACTCCAGGGGCATGAGAGGATTACCTGAGATGGCAGAGGGCCGGAGGGTGAGTCCCAGGCCTGGCACACAGTGAGACTTCCTAGGGCAGACCAGGAATCTGGAGGGTGAGTCACCTTGGGGGTTAAGAGTTTGGGCCCAAGAGCAGGCCTGGGCCTGAGTGGAGGGTATTTGAGCAAGTGGAGACTGGCCCTACCTCTTCCCCGTTGCGAAAATTAGAGCAAGGCTTGCCTCCCTGGGCTTCAGTTTTCAAAAATATAGACATTAAAAAAAAAAAGAGGACAAAAAGATTTCTTAAAAACTGGAGGCATAGGTGGAAACACTGTACCTTCTCGCACAACCAAATTTAAAGACAACAAAATTTTAGTAACAAAAAACGCAGCCAAAACACAGAAAATTGAACGAAACCCAAGTCCGACAACAACAATCCCTTCAGCCAGACCGGTAAGAGGGGCGGAGCCAGCGACTGGCGGAGCGGGGTTGTGCAGGAAAACTCGGTCAGACCCACCCAGGCTGCGGTTGGTGGATCCCAGGTGTGGGGTTGTGACGGGCGGACCCAGTGAGGGCGCAAGGTGGCAGGCTGACCGGGGCCACACGTTCGCACACAGATAAACCAGCGAAGGAGCGAGCAGTGAGACAGACCACGCAGGCCCTGGCAGCAGGAAGCAGCAGAGGGGACCACTATTGCCCCTCTCTGACCCTGCCCCCACATACAGCTTCACAACCCAGTGTGACCTGGGCGGCCACGCCCTGGTGAACACCTAAGGCTCCGCTCCTCATACATACGTAATGGGCACGAACAGATCAAAACATGGCTCAAGAAGAACTCAAAGCCCCAGAACCGATAAATCTAAGTGACGAAGAAATAGCCAAACTTTCAGATGCACAGTTCAAAACACTGGTGATCAGGATGCTCACAGAACTGGCTGGTTTTAGTCACAAATTAGAGCAACATATGAAGGCTAAACTAATTGAAATGAAGGGAAATGCATAGGAAAGCAATAGTGATGGAAAGGAAACTGGGACTCAAATCAAGGGAGTGGACCAGAAGGAAGAAAAAAATGACCAAACAGAAAAATATGAAGAAACAGGAATTCAAAACAATGAGGAGAGGCTTAGGAACCTCCAGGACATCTTTAAACACTCCAACATCCTAATTACAGGGGTACCAGAAGGGGAAGAGGAACAGCCACCAGTGGAAAACTTATTTGAACAAATAATACAGGAGAATTTCCCCAATCTGGCAAAGGAAATAAATAGACCTCTAGGAAATCCAGGAAGCTCAGAGAGTCCCAAAGAAGTTGGACCCAAGAAGGAACACACCAAGGCACATCATCATTACATTAGCCAAGATTAAAATGGAGGAGAGACTCCTAGAAGCAGCAAGAGCTAAGGGCACAGTCACCTACAAAGGACTTCCCATCAGACTGTCAGCGGATTTCTCAAAAGAGACCTTACAGGCAAGAAGGGGCTGGAAAGAAGTATTCCAAGTCATGAAATCCAAAGACCTACATCCAAGATTGCTCTATCCAGCAAAGCTTTCATTTAGAATGGAAGGACAGATAAAGTGCTTCTCAGATAAGATCAAATTCAAGGAGTTCATCATCACCAAGCCCTTATATGAAATGTTAAAGGGACTTACCTAAGAAAAAGAAGATAAAAAATATGAACAGTGAAAAGACAGCAAACTCACAGTTATTAAGAACCACACCTAAAACAAAAGCAAACTAAGAGGACAGCTAGATCAGAAGCAGAACCATAGAAATGAAGATCTCATGGAGGGTTAGCAACAGGAGGGTGGGAGAAGGAGAAGTGGGGGGAGAAGGTACAGAAAATAAGTAGCATAGACGGTAGGTAGAAATTGGGGGAGGGGCAAAAATAGCATGGGAAATATAGAATCTAAAGAACTTGAGACACGTGATCATAAACTAAAGGGGGGAATGGTGGGGGAGGGAGGTGCAGGGTGGAGGGGAATGAATGGGAGGAAACAGAACAACTGTAAGGGCATAATCAATAAAATTAAAAAAAAAAACAAAACCAGTCACTAAAAAATAGCCCTCAGCCCTGACTGGTGTGGCTCAGTTAGTTGGGCATCATCCCACAAAGCAAAAGGTATCTGGATCGATTCCAGGTCAGGGCACGTGCCTGCACTGTGAGTTCAGTCCCCAGCCGGGGCACGTACAGACAGAGGCAGCCAATGGATGTTTCTCTCTCCCCTTGATGTTTCTCTCCTTCTCTTTCTTCTCCCCTTCCCCTCTATCTAAAAATAAATAAATAAAATCTTATTTTGTTAAAAAAGCCCTCAGAGGACTTTTACAGAAATCCACTACAAAGAACAGGGACTGGTCCCATTTGAGTTGCTAAAGCAATTTTAACTCTTATTTTATTATTTTCCAAGTAAAATTCTTGTTTTGAAAAAAGACTTTATTAATTTTTTAGAGAGGGAGGAAGGGAGGGAAAGGGGGGGGAGAGAAACTTCGATGTGTGGTTGCCTCTCGCATACCCCCTACTGAAGACCTGGCCTGCAACCCAGGCATGTGCCCTGACTGGGAATCGAACCAGTGACCCTAAGGTTCACAGGCCTGCACTCAATCCACTGAGCCACACCAGCCAGGGTAAAAATCTTTTTTTTTTTTTAATCCTCTGTGTTTTCTTTTTATTGTGGCATACTATGCATGCAGGTATGTGCACAAAACTCAGGTAAATAGCTTGAAGAATTGTTACCTGTGTATATGCCTATGTATATACACCACCCAGGTCAAAATATAGAGCATTTTCTACCTCCAGGAAGACCCCTGTTCCCCTCCCAGTTAGTGCTTTAACCCCAGGTAAGCAGCACTCTGACCTGTCTCAGCATGGACTGGTTTGCCTGTTCTCGAACTTCATATGAATAGACTCTTATAATGCAATTGGGCGTGGAGTGAGCTCATGGAGAACAAGGGTCTTGGCCCCAACCCTGGTGCACAGTGAGCATCCCACAGTGGGGGCTGCCATTATCCCTGACATCTTTACTGTAACACTTAGAAGCTTGCAAGTGTCCTGGTTGCTACGGCTGCCTCAGATGGCTGTGCCTCCTTACCCCACAGTCAGAGAGTCCCCAGGAAGATGGCCGTAGGAATCCCTCCTTCCTGCCCTTACAGAGGGAGTCTTCTGAAGCCAGAGAGGTCATCATCTCCCTGGAGGCAGAGGTGCCTGTCCCAGGGACAGACAGGTAAGTGTCCTTTGCACCAAGGGGCATCTTCGTTGGAGAGAGGAAGCCTCCCCTGATAGGCATGCTCGGGAAGAACTGCTCTCCCAGTGGGCCAATGGAAGTGGGGAGGAAGGGGTAGGGACCTGACGGAACAGGAGCCCAGCCCTGCAGCCTGCTTCCATGTTTTTAGGTGGAGATACAAGGGATTCCTGGGGGGAGGGAGCCTTTGGAGGAGGCAGGAGAGGCCAGGTAGTGCACCCAAGAGGAGCAGGGTGCAGATGCCTCAGGGTTCTTGTGTGTAGGGGCCAGTTGTTTACCAACTAGTATGTTATCATTCCCTCACCCTGTCCCTATTGGCATGGCAGCAAGTGCAGCTGGAAAGCGGTGCAGGGGGAACCTGAAGACCAGCAAGGTGACTTCTATCTCAGAGTCTCCTCCCTGGGCTCAAAGGATCAGAGCAAACTCGACGGTGAGTGAGGGCCAGGCAAAGACCCTGCTGTAGCCTATTGCTCTGGCTAGGCTTCTTTCTGGGCACTGACGATGACCTGGACCCAGCCTTCCTGAAACTCAAGAGTGTCCCAGAAGACAGATAATGGTCCTTTGATGTTACCAGAGGACTCTGGAGCCCAAATGCCCACCAGTGGGAAGCCCGGCTCTGCCACTTCCTACAAGTGTAACCTTGTTTGTCCATCAAAATAAGGGGTGGGTATTATCATCTCTATTCTCTGGATGAGGAAACTGAAGCCCTGAGAAATTGAGCCACTTACCTGACTCACCCAACAGAGGACCTGGCTTTGGGCTTCTGACTCCCCCATACCATCCCCTCTCTGCTCCTTTAAATTCAGGGGATTCTGAGGCCTACTTGGAGTGTACCTCCGCCACCATCCATTCCTCCCCTCAACACCTGGACCCAGACCCTCGGTTCGACATGACAATGACCCCCATAGCAGGTAAATAGGGCCCAGGCACAAGGAAGGGCAGTACGTAGGCCTGGCTTAGGGGATGGTCATGATACTGGCCCCACATCAGCTGTACGCTTGGTGCCCACTAAGGCTCACCTGGAAGGCAGAGCCACCAGTCTTTCCTTCTTGGCCTGGTGGCAACAAGGTGTGTGCGCTGGGCGAGTCCAGCTTTCTCCATGGTGAAGTGTCTGGTGTCTTTGTTAGGGTGTCTGCCATGATTCACAGTGTTGAAGGCTCTCTCCTGCCTGCCCCCTTTGCCTCTCCCCAGAATGCCCAGGAACCGCAGAAGAGTTGTTGCAGCCTGAGGTACCAGGCATATCCAATGGCTCCCTGCCCCAGACCCCTGAGCAAGAGAAGTTTCTCCGCCACCACTTTGAGACACTTACTGACACCCACCCTGAGGGTAGGGCCCTGCCCCTCTCGGCCCTGCCTTGGAAGACCATCCAGTGCTAGGCACAGCGTGGGCATCTCCGGTTTAGGGCTTTCCCCAGCAGGTCTGCAGACTTTAGTGGGAGGGCATATGTTTTATCTTAAGGACTAAGCCCCATTGTTTCCTCTCCCTGCTACAGTTGCTCTGTGTTGTCTGTTGATGGGGTTTTTGAGGATCTGCCCGGATCTGGAACTCATTGTCTGGGGGCATTCTGAGGTCTCTCTTGGCATCTTTTCCTAGAGCTCTTTCCCAGATCCCTAAGAGATGTGACAGCCTCTGAGGATGAGGACTCTCTAAATCCCCGGCTGAGCATCTCAGCCCAGTTCCACTCACGCCTCCAGAAGACATCCAGGTAGAAGCTGGTGATCTAGTGAACCTTCCAGCTTTCTGTGTTCCCCCAGGGTGCGGCTGAGTCCTCTCAGGCATCCCCAGGTCAGGCACAACTGCCTGGTTTCCTCCCACAGGCTCAACCACACCATCCCTTTCCGGCTGCCCTTGAACCTTCTGAAGTCCCCAGAGGTCAAAGTCATAGACCTTGGGGAGAACCAGCCCAAGGCGGAGCCTCTGAGAGCAGACACTGGCTATGCCTTCCCAGACAGGACCAACGTGAGTACTTGAGCCACCTCCTCAGGACACAGGACTGGGAGCCGGGAGGCCTTGTCCTCACTTCATGGCCGTGCTTGCAGGTCCTCTCTGCGGGGAAGGCTAAGGAGCCCCTCGACACCCTGAAGGCCTGGTACCCACGGAGTGAGTGTCACCATCCCTAGTAAACCACCCTGAGCTTCTCAGCAAATGGCCCTGGGTGCCCACATGAACCATGGGTGGGCATGGGCATGGTCCACTTAGACCCTGCAGCCATCCTGGGGTGGGGCCCTGCCTATCATTTCTGTGGCTTGGGTATGAGAGTGAACCAGCTGCTTCCTTTACAGCCTCATGCCTCATGGGACTGGCTTCCCGCGTCCCCTCTTTCTCATTGCTGTCCACAGACAGGAAACCTCTGACGCCCACCACCCTACCCACTCCAGGCCTCCACAGCCCCTCTACCTGCTCCTACATGGAGGCTGCTGCCAGCTCCTGTGCCAAGATGTCACACAGCATCTCCCTTGAGGACAGCGAGGACCCTGTCCTGACTGAATTGACTAGACCCCTCTGCAGGCCCTCGTCCATGGGGGAGCTGGCCTCCCTGGACCAGGAGCTTCAGACCATCATGACCACTACAGCAGCACCCAATTCTGACAGCAAGGGCCAAGAGCCTGCCCTGACGTCCCAGGGCAACCATGAAGCCCGGGCCAGCCTCAGACAGACCCTGTGGGGTGTCTGTGACAGGCTCTTACTGCCCCCACCCCCACAGGAGTCACCTGCTACTTGTGTTGGGTCCCAGGAACCTGTGGCCATGCAGCCTGATGCCACGGTTACAACAGCTAGCTTCCCGGCTCCCACAGATGTGAGCTCCCCGAGGCTCCACAGCTCCACCTTTCTCCCAAGGCTTTTGGCCCCTGGGCCCCTCAACACCCCTGCCCACCCTGATGGCCTCTCACTTCCAGAGGCCATGCCAGGGGGCCCTGGCGGCATCACCTCCCTCCTGGAGCTCACCCCTGGTGAGTGTCACCCTTGGGATAAGGCCTCGCCTCCTAAGTGCATCCCATGTAACAGCTAGCTAGCTCAGCTCCAAAGGTGGGCGCTTGACCTGGCCACAAGTGCTGTGCCATTCATTCATTCATTCATTCATTCATTCCGTTATTGAGCTATTTAGTGAGCACTTTGTATGTGTTGGGCTTTTTGTTCTAGGCCCCGAGGACATGGATGGGCTGTGGTGGTAAACAAGACTATAGAGAACTGACACCTTAATTGGGGAAGATGCGTAAACTAAATGTGTGAGGAAAGTGTTAAGTGTATCATGAAATGATATGTGCTCAGGAGAGAAATAAGAGAAAGGTTTTAGGGAGTGAGAAGTGGGGGCAATGGTTACAGTTTTAAACAGGATGGTGAAAAAAGGCTTTGGAGAGAAGGTGGTATTTGAGCAGAGACCAGCCACCCTGGTCTCTCTTGGACCAGCTATAAAGTAGAGGTAACTTTCTCATTCCCTCCTCTTGCCTCCTAGGTGTGCTCAGTGTGGTCCAGGATAGCCCTGAACACTGTGGGGAGCCTGGGGTGCCAGCTGCAGTCCTTTCCCCAGTTCCCCTTGGGCTGAGCGGTGTGGGGACCATCGCGCACAAACTGAAGACAGCCTTCCAAGAAGCCCTGGACCTTTACCACCTGGTGAGCCAAGCCCCAGGGCCGGGGGAAAAGGCTAATGGGGTGCCCTGGGACTACCTGGCCTGAGTGGTCCCTAACAAGGTTAGCACTCCTTGCAGATGGTGTCCAGTGACCAGCTGAGTACCGAGCAGCAGCAGGCACAGACTGAGCTGGCCTCCACCTTCCTTTGGATCCACAGCCAGTTAGAGGCCAACAACTGGCTGGTTGGGAGTGACGTGGCCCCAGCCCAGGCCCTGCCTATCCCAGGTCCTCTCTCCCCACCTACACTGTGCCCCCTGGCTAGCCCAGATTTGCGTGCCCTGCTGGAACACTACTCGGAGCTGCTGGTGCAGGCCGTCCGGAGGAAAGCACAGGGGGACTGAGGGCCAGCAGCCCTGCCATTTTCTGACAAAATAGGTATTTTAAGCAAATAAATGGACAACTTGGAGGAATGGTTCCTGGTGCCTATCCTGGCACATCCACAAAGCCCCTCTTCAGGTGGATGTAGGGTGGGAGGGTACAGGGCAATGCCTCTGGGGGACCAGCCCAGGAAACTCTCGTAAGCCCTGATGTTAGGCCCTGTCCTCAGAATCTGTCAGTGAGAACATGAGACCAACATCCCCAAGATGCAGTTAGGGAACTGCAGTGATGATGATCCCAGCACCTGGCTCCCACCTGGGCTTATCCCCAGCCCACTGACCTGTTGAGGGATCATGTGTAGTCCTTGCCCAGTGGGGCCCAGCTGTACCCCAGGAAAGGACCAGTCCTCCCCTACTGCTCCTGATGCCCAAGAACCCACTGGAGCTGCTGAGATCACCATGTGCCAGACCCTGGCCACACCCCTGGCCCCTGGGCAAGGCCCATGCCAGATCCTCTGAGGGCCAGGCTTTCGTCCCCATCTGCAACAGGAGAAATTGAGGAGACGAACAGGCCTATCCACCGGACGATCCGGGCAGCGTGCCAAGGCCACCCAGCAGCTGGAAGAGTAATTTCTTCCCTAGCGAGAGGATTGTGTCCAACTTCAAGGTCCGATGAGCTCCCAGCACTGATACCAGCTTCCCGAGGCAGCAGGCATCTAGCCACGTGGCATGTCTGCTAAGAGGGCCACTCTTGTGACCAGAGAAGCCCCACTATCCCAAGTATATAAAAGGGAAGCCAGCAGGGGTGGGGCTCTCTCCCAAAGCACAGTTCTACCCTGCGGACTCTTGAGGCCTGAACCCCCCACTTGCCTGTTCCTCCCTGCCCTGTTTGCTGGTCATGGCCCACCGGAAATGTTCAGAGAGAATCCAGTGTCTTGCCCAGGGTGCCACAGAGCTGAGACTCAAACCTAGGCGTGCCTGGTGGAAGAGCCAGACCTTTGAACATGAGGACATGGCCCACTCCTGCCTCCATAAACATACACCTGAGAACCAATCATGCAGTTGCTTAAAAAAAAAAAAAAAAAATCCTGCGGGTGCCCAGGTGCCTGTCACTGTTCTACATATTAAAGGTACAGTGAGGACCAGGAACAGCAAAGCTGTTCTGTGCTGGTTGAAGTGTCAGGGAAGGCCTTCCTGAGGTGACATTTGAGCTGAGTCCTGACAGAGGACACAGGCCATGTGTACATCTCAGAATAGTATACAGGCAGACAGAACAGCCAGTGCAGAGGCCCCATGAGGGGATCAAACGTATATGTAAGGAACAGCAACAAAGGACAGCTGGAATAGAAGATGGGAGAGATAGTGGGAGAAAGACTGAGATCGCACCAGGCAGGGCCTTGCTACTTCATGACTTTCAAGTCCAAGAAACATTCACGACACAATTTCCGCCCCTAAATAAAATCCCTAATACTGCTGTTCGAGGAGATGCCCCGTTCTGTTTATTTTTCAAAGCTCCCTCTCCCTGCCTTAGTGAGCCCATGTGGTCCAGGGCTCATGGTTGGGCTGCACCTCTACCCAGGCCGACAGGCCACCCCTGAAAGACTGCAGGTATGTTCTCCTTGCCTAGCTTGGCCACAGTCACCTAAGATCCCTGAGGCAAGGTTTGGGATCCAGGCTCCTGGACATCCAGGGGACCGACTTGAGGCTCTATCCCTCGTGAAATTTACCCCTTCTCCCACCCTGTATTACAGTTAAGCCTTCAACTCCAAGTAGCAAACACCTGGCTTATGGGGACACATGCCATAGGGACATTTGCTACTCTTGATTATGCCTCTGCTCTGCCACCCTCTTAGCCTGAGTTCCACCCTCCTGTTCAGGCACTCACAATTGCAACACGTCTGCCACACACTCAGCAGTACACCCCTACCCAACCAGCAGGAAAGGCACAGAGCAGGGCGGCCATCAGGGCAGTGGGGAAGAAACTGCAGGTTTCTTCCTGGAGCCCTTCCCCTTCAGAGCAGTCACGGGCAATGGGGATGGAGATTGCTTTGATTGGCTTGGACCAACCATCTCTCCTGTGCTGGACAAAACAAAATTGGGTTCTCAGTACAAAAGGAGGCGGGCTGCTAGTTCAAGAGAATCCAGTGTATCTGCCACTCTCCACTTCCTAATGCCAAGCTCTTCAGCCCCAGGAAGACCAGACTTTCTGTTGGACAAACCGGCTGCTTAAGAAACCACTGCTGATGAATATGCATGCAGGTGGTTTATGGACCAATAGGATCTCAGTGGGAAGAGGACAGCACGTTCACGTGGGACATTTCAGAGAGTTTAGTGAAGGAATAATTGCAAAGCAGCGGGCAGGGAAGAATGAAACCTCAGTACCTTGGACCTGGTACCAGAAGAGAGCTGTCACACACCCCCGCCCATGAGCACCAGGGAGTGAAGTGAAACCCAGAAGAGCGACTCCTGGAGAGAGGGCTGCCCTGAGGGGTCCTGTGCCTCTGGCAGCCCGACAGGGAGCCGGATGTGGGGGAATCCCTTCCCACATCTGCATGCCCCCACCCCCATTGTTCGTACCCAACTGGAAGCCAGGGGGCATAGGAGCTCAGATGATGCTGCCCACCCAGGTCAGCCTCCCACACAGAGCGGGGCAGAAAGGGAGCCTGGGGGCAAATAAAGACACCCAACTCCAGATTTCCTCTCTAATATGTTTTCCGCAACCACACAGGAATCGATTCCCCCACGAGACATATGTTGGGCATGGAGAACTGGGCACCTGAGCAGAAACAGAATGGGGCTCCCCCTTCACCAGTTCATTCTCTAGTGTAACCTGGCCCCTGCACTCCACATTGGACAGCTCCTAGATACTGGCCTGCCAGACCTGTGCCAGGCAAAGCAGTCATGGCTACGTGAAATCCAACAATTGTGAAATGGCAAACACTTAAAGCCCCATTTTGCAGACGGGTCAATTGAAACACAGAAACTCACCTAGTCCCGCCGCCCCACGAGACTTCCTAACAACCCCTCTGTTTATATGTCTGCCACTTGCCTGATCCCATGCTCAGCATTCTCCCCCACATGATCTGTCTGCATGGATCTTCAACACAAGTTGGAAATAGGGAGACTCGTTAGTCCCATTTTCCAGATGAAGAAACAGGCTCAGCGATAAATGACTTGTCCCAGGTCTGCAGAAATAAAGTGGCAAAGCTCTGGGCTAGCAGACTCTCAGGGCTGCCTCCCTCACTTCCCCAAATGAATCAGCAGGACTAACTCTAGGGAATGTGAATAAAGGAATAAATATTGCTTCTTTCATCACCAAGCCTATGTACAGACTGTTCCCTCTGCCTAGAACATTCTCCCCTTTCATCCTAAGCCTCTTGTTTCTCCAGGGCTCATGTCCAGGAAGTTGTCTCTCAACCCTTAGGCTGGATCAAGAACCTCTTCCTCCCTCCCTCAGTCCTCCTGCACTCTCCCCATCACAGCTTGGATCGCTCTGCCTGTGCTTTCCCCATCAGGTCTTGGTCATTCTGGGCAGTCACTGGTGTGTGTCCCCCATGAACTAAGCTATACCTGGTCTATAGTTGGAGCTCAGAGAATTGTTGGGTGAATAAACGAGAGTAACTGCATGAGGAGGAATGTTCAAAATCCTTATCCCCTGGTTAAGAGGCCACTGACCAATCTAGAACGCAGCCTGGCCAGAATGCTGAGGTAAGGTCCTCAGAGCCTCCAGCTGTTTTTGGCACGTGGGAGTCGGGGAGAGGTGTCCCAGGCACTCACCAGGAGCTGGACTGTTAACAAACTAGTGTTTTAATGCCTGCTACACCTGAACAGTGTGCTTCTGGCTGAACATCAGTTCTGGGAATCTGAGGGTCAGAGAGGTGGTGCTTCCTGCTGGAAGATGCACAGCTTCCTGCTGGATCCTTACTCTGTCCTAAACTATTAGACCCCGCTGTCCCTCCATCCTCTGGAGCAATCAGTCACCCCCTCCCCTCCTTTCTCAGACAGCTGCTGTGATTTGAATAACCGAGCAGGCAGTTGGATGTCCAGTACTGACTGATTTGCCTGGCAAACACACCTTTAGATCCTTGGCCCTGCCGGTACTATGAGAAGACACTCAAAACCCCTGGGGTCTCCGTTTCCTCTACCCACCCCCAAGACCTGCCTAGGCTGCGTCGTGCCCTTGCTTGACCTCCTCGGTGGTCCTACTGCTTATCTGCCCCCCACCCACCCACCCCCGGGAGTCTGGAGAATACCCTCAGGAATCTTTCACAGAAGGGGGAGGAATGGTGGGCCCCAAGACAGAGGTAATTGGAGCCAACTGAGTCTGCTCCCTGGGCCTGTCATGAAATTTGCATTGAGAGAATGAGGCTCCTTTATGGCTGCCCCCTCCTTTTCCCCTTGGGAAGGTCACCCGGGCCTGAGGTCTCACAGGAGGTGGAGGAGACAGCACCGTGTGCCTGTGCGTGTAACCATCCTACCATTCCTGGAGGTGATGCCTCGTGCCTTCCTGGTCAGGAGTAGGCGCCTGCAACCACCCAATTGGAGCCACCTGCCTGACCAGCTCCGGGGAGACGCCTATGTCCCAGGTGGGGCCCTCACTAGGCCTGGGGGTGAGGGGCAGGAGAAACACAAAGCATTACTCTTGGGCTTCTCTTCTCAGCCTGCAGAAGCCTGGAGGGGCCACCAGCACACCAATCTTCCAGCCTTGGGGACTCTTGGGCAGCGGTGAGTCTGCAGGTGGCCCCCAAGACCCTGCTCAATTTCACCCCTGCCCACTCAGCTTAGACAGACCCTGACCCTCCCTCACTCCCCACGCCCATTGCGTGTCCTTCCAGCCTCGGGACCTTCCCACCCTTTGTTCTCTCCATTCAGAGTGCCTTTCAGTGAGCTGTTAGCCCTCATCCCAAACACCATTTCCCCAGGGTGGGCAGCCACAGTTCCTATTAGGGATCTCTCCAACCTGTGGGGCAGAGGATCAGACAAGGCGACAGGAGCAGGATAGGGATGGGGATGCGATTGAGAGCCTTTTAGAGGAGATATTCTGTGCATGCACTGGAAGGACAGCACTAGCCAAATGTAAAGTATGCTCAAGACTATTTCAGTTCAGTACTTATTGAGAGCCAGGAACTGTTCAAA